GATTCTTAATATAAAATATCTTCATCAACTGCCTTTGAATCATCTTCAACATGGCGATGATAAGTTCGTCTCTTGTCTCCTTTATATACAAGTTGAAGTCTCAAAGATGTTATGTAACAACATATTGTATTTCAAATTAAGTTATGAGCATACTTAATTACATCATTCAACAGTATAGCTAATAATAAAATCAATTGTATTTACAAAATCAAAAATATAGCGAGTGAACTATATTTAGGCCAAGATAGTTCAATCATAAAATTTTGATGAGTAAAAAATAACATAATTAGATAAATCATTAATTTATTAGATGTTAATCAATTCACTCTAAGCGTATACAAATTAGAAGGAGACAATACATAAATGTTCAATTTGAAAAAAAAATATATATATAATTTTAAGGGAATCATCGTAAAACTATATACATACTATCATAATCTGAAATATTATTTATTTTCAAGACCATCAAATATCCTTTAATGGATAATTGGCCAGAATGAGACAAAGTTCCAAGTGAATCTCTAAAACCATAACAATATTGAACATTGAATCTGACACAAAACTAGATGTAATAACATTAACTTTTAGATAAAAACATATTGTCATGTACTATATATAATAGAAAGTATTTGCTAATTAAGATTATTTATTCTACGTTGCTGTAATCTTAAAATAACTAAAACACTTCTTTGCTATATGAAGATTCAACATTATATTTAGAAAACACTTTCAGATTAAAGATTTCTAATAGCTCTCAAAGAATGATAAGTATAATTAAAAAAAAATGTTACTTATAATAATAAATTATTATTAAAAATATTTATTATATTTTTAATATAGTAACTATTTTTTAATAAAATTCAGTATAGTTAAATAGTTAAACTTAATCTTAAAGATTAAACTTAACAAAATCATAAATATAAAAAATAGAACATTCAATGCTCTGATTGCATTAATTTCTTCTTCAATTACCATTCTTTTATTCTAAGTGCATTTATTGCATCTACATAACTGATAAATTTATCTTTAAAAATTAAATTTTAATAGTTTGATTTACTTCATTTTAAGAACGCAGGTATCCGAATTCATTATGTAGTTTACAAGAATAAAAATGTTTAACAAAAATTAAAATAAAATTATTATGTGCATGCTTGGTTACCTTATAATAATTAAGTTATTCAGCAATCCACGCGACCAAACACAGTGGAGGCACCGCAACTACAGTGATTATCACAATGATAAGCAAGTCCATGCATGATTAGCAATGATATTCATTATTGTCCCAAAAAATCAAAATACCGTAAATTAATGGAATAATAAAAGGATTAAAGGAGAAAAATACATTAATATTCCACTAATTACTGAATAGATCCCCGTGTATACTGAAGAATTAATGCATCCTTATGATGAAACTCGTACGCCGATCAATTAAGCGTGAGTGGGGATCATTCTCAAGTTCTATTATAGTTTACCCTTTTGTGGTAATACCAAAAAACAAAATCTCGGATGATTTGAGCATGAGAAATGATAGATTTGAAATTTAATCCATGTTAAGATGATTAAGAATATTCTATAAAATGAAATCTAAAACCATAGTTATATACACACACACACGAAATAATGACATAATAGTGATAACTATTTCATTGCTATATAATATATGTCACAATACTCAATATTGAAGGAGATAAGTTTTATCAATGCATATTCTCTTTTTCGATCAAGCACATGGGCTTGATTAATAATTACGTGTCCTTTCTTCTATTTCAATTTTTTTTTATGTATATTACCCATCATCGACTTTTCAATTTTTCCTCCTTATTAGTTTCTAAATAAAAATTACTCAGATGCTTTTCAAAATTACATAATCTGATTTATCTATTTCCTAGAAAAACTTCATTTTTAACTTAATCAAATATCAAATTCCTGCAAATAAAATTTTACTGATATTAATTGTATTAAGTGTTAGATATTTATAAAAGATAATTCATCTTTATATACTAGATTAGAATATATTTTCTTTAAAAATTAATTTCTTAATTTTTAAAATTAATTATTCACAAATTTATTATAATTTGAAATATTAATGTTTGCACAAAATAATTGTTCATATGTAAGTACAATGAATGAAACGTCTTTCATAAAAGTCAATATAATAATACAAAAATGTTTTATATTAGTAAAGATTAAAGGATGTATGTTTGAAAAGTATCTTTATGAAAGAAAAAGGTTACTTTTGATAGAATTATTATTTAGTGTCTTTTTATAGATACTTGTTTACAAGTATGCTTATTAGATTAAGTGTACTAAAGTTGTAATGAGGCAAATACAATTTATAGACTATTTTAGTCCGGAGCTAATTATTTTTAGATGTTTATAAATAATTACAATTGGTAATAAAATAAACAATTAAAAATTAATGCTAATTTTTAGAAGATGAAATTATATTATCAAAACATTTGAGTATTAAAAGTGTTTTTGATGAGTCATTGTAGCTGATTTAAATTTATATGATTAGCTTCTATGTTTATTTGATTAAGATAAAGACATTTAATAAAATCTTTTTAATAGCTTAAAGTATTTATTTTCAAACATTCATTAAAATAATGTTTATAGTTGTAATTTATATTAATCCTTTCATTTTCACCCTCAATATTTTAATGAATTTCTTCAGCTACTCTCATTTTTAATATTATTATATTTATGTTTTTGACAAAATATTTTATCTTTAAACAAAACTCGTAGGATTTTAAAACAAACTAAAAATAAAATTACAATTAGAAAGATATTTGTTATTTATTGAATAAAAATTATTTTCAGAATATTTTATTTATTTATCAACTTGTTTAACAGTTAAATGCGATGTCGATATTTTTTGGAGTAATATTTAAAATATGAAAAGTGGGTAAGCTAAGATAAGTCCAAAATTGTAGGGTGTAAAGTTCAGACAGAAAATTAAAAAAATGAAAACATAGTGTTTGATTCCGCACTAATTAAAAAGGAAAGCTTTATTTTTTAATAAATCAAACTCAAACTAAAACTGGTGCCTTTATTACGAGGACATCATATTAGTGCTTGAAGTGATATTTAGAGGCTATTTGGTTAAGTAAACAGCCCATTAGTTATGAAATATAAGAAATGACGATATCATATTCTTGTTAAGAGAAGGATGTAACCCACTTCAATTGTGGAATGCCACATACACCCATTTTCAGTGGTCCACTTTTTGTGGGTCACTCTACCCCTTACTCCATCCTCTATAAATGCTCAAATCATGTACCTATATTGGACATATATACCTGCGCTAAATCAAATTCCAAGTACATGTTGGGTCATCTTTTTTTCATAGGTAGCCATTGACTATGACAAAAAAGAAAATGGGAGGTAGTTCTTTTTGCTCTTTTGGTCAAGGGAGTTAGTTCAGCTTTAACACTTTTTTTACATTACATGGTTTGGGTTTAGAGTTGTCATAATTACTAACTCATCTACGCTAATATTTTCTTAACTTTTTCTATGAAGAAAACAATATTTTGGTATTTTATTAGAATCCAAATAAACTTTTTGTTGTACGGAAAAGATCATTAGGTAAATTTTTGAGAGTGTAATTTTAAAAGTGTACCTTACGTATCGACCTAGTGCGTTCAAGGAAATAAGCTTGTTCATTAAACTTGTTATTAAGCTTTAGGCTTGTAGTTATATTTGGTTCAAAGAATGAAATTTCATTAAATAAGAAAATGAATACGGGTCATTTGGATTAGTGTTTTGCGTGACTCAAAACATTTTGGTACCACCGTACCATTTATCTTTTCTCTATATACATAATACGAACGTGTTCATTTATTTATTAAGAATTTGCACAGTTGGTTTTTATAAAGCATTGTTATTATCCAAGTCACGTGGTCAGCCAAGTTTATGTTGATTCAGTATGCAACCTATTTTTCTAAAAAATTGCCAGAAAAAAAGAAGCAGAAACTCACTCAATCCATTAGAATTAACGATTGCTTGAGTACATGCACTCAGAAGAGATTAGTGGTGGTCGATTCTTCCATCTAGCATCAGTTATGCGGTCAAAAACCAATATTTTTCCTACAGCAATGGCTTCATATTTTTTATAAAGGTAAATAAAACACTTGAACCGATCGGAAACCTAAATAATAGTGAAGTTATAATCATTGAGAAATTAATTGAATTCTCAATAATTCCACTTTTAATTTTTTTTAAATTGTAAATAATTTACTTTTAACCTTACGAGGAAAAAATCAATTGCATTTTTCTTAAAAGTATAAAAGCTTGTCAAATAATAAATTTTGTTATCAAGTCACTTTTGCTTGAATTAAATGATTTCATGTTTGTGTATGGCACTTCAAATCAGATCAGGTGATGATCTGCTACAGGAGGAACAAACTCATCCACTTCTTTTTTCAACAAAAATGGAAGGAAAAATTAACACCTCAAATTTTACTGGGCAGAACAGAAGAAAACAAAAAGAATTTAAATAATAAAAAAAGGTTATGAAAAATTGAGTAAAATTTTATATTATTTGGTATAAGAGAAACATAAAAATAAGCATTTTGTTTTCTCTTATTTGATTGAAGAGAAAGTAAAAACAGCATTTTCTCAAATATACAAATTTGCCCCAGATAAATAAATTTTAAAAAAAAATTAAAAGATTAAAAACAAGAGTCAAGACAAAAATGTTCTCTTCCATGCCCTTTTCTCCACAGTAGTGAGGAGAAACAAATGTGTAACATCATACCCAAAAAAGCACTAGAAAGGGATAGAAGCCTTAGCAGCATCTATATCCACGCCACAAGTACCTGCCTCTTCCATATACGGCAAATCATAATTTGGCACTATACAGACGTTACAAACAAGCTAGTCAGACAGGACAATCGGTATAGTATTATTTACGTGAGATTAAGATGATAGTATTATTGATAAACGAGTTTTACATGAAAAATTTAGCTAGAGGACCTGTACTTTTCTACAATTGACATGCATAAATTACAGCTGTCGATGATACATTTATAAGCAGAGCAATAAACGCCTTTTTATTCATAAAAATGCCCTCAAACATTGACTGGTGAATTGGCTCTTATTCTTTGGTGTGGATACTAGCATGGGGGCTACTAATCAAACCTTCTTGCAGCAAGGTTTCACTCTGCAGCACTTGTTTTCCTTCGTTGAGAAATGAATAATCTGCTCATTAATGTGCTTCTGACTTGAAAGGTGTCGTAAAGTTGTCCATGAACCATAGAATGTTTCTGCAGCTTGTGCAGAAAAATCATTATTGCTAAGGTCCAGTAATTGCAAGTTTGCCGCCTTACCAATAGCAATTGAAAACTGTTGTATGAAATGGCACTCGGGAGATGAATTTCTTTGACATGAACTGGCACAGCTGTCGTCAATTCCAGAAGCAGTAGCTTCTGCTCTAACTGCCATATCTTCACTATCAGCAACTTCCAGCTGATGGTAGGTAGTGTTTAGGGAGCAAAGGACCTCTTGATTATCATCAACTTCCATGGTATCAAGTTTCTGCTCCTGGATTGACAGACCTGTATTAAGTTTCTGCTCCTGGTTTTGTGAACAGCTTTTTACTGATAAATCATATTGTAGAGCAGAAACTTCGTTTAGAACAGAATTATCAGCAAGATTCAGCTCTTCCAGGCAGCTATTCTCTGATAAAAGAAACAAAATAACCACACAATATTAGATCTAAACAACAAACTAACAACCAGATATAATTTAATGCCTACCTGCCAGAGCCTCAATTACGTGAAGAACTCCAGCAAGCCCAAGTTGACACTTTCTAAGGACCAAAACTTTGAGACAGCATTGTGGGTTTACGAGAAGAGAAAATAAAGCATTGCCACCCTGTATTCATTAAAGAATTTAAACAAACAACGGATAAAAAAATTTGGTTAAATGAAAAAAAATTTATAACCCAACAGCCAGAGCTATAGCTAAATCTATATAATCTGCAAACCATAGTTAAGGGTAAAGATACAGTAGAGAAGCCAGATTCTACAGAGTGTTACAACAATACATAGTAATACGCAATACCAGTCAAGGAAACATAGTAATATTAACAACAGAAATTCAAATACTGGCAACAAACCTCAGACATAATAGGATTTCCTTCCAGGTTCAGCTCAAGGATGGAACAAAAAAAATTAGCACCGATGTTTAAAACACAGTTAGATGTTAGACCGCAATATGATAGGTCAAGTTTCACAAGTTCTTCAGTCCCTTTGAGCAATGATTCTGCCAATTTTATTGCCCCTTCCTGCAGAATAATGCCTCTATAATCAAAAGAGCAGGTGGGCTAAGCATGATAAAACAAAGCATAATGATACAATAAATTGAACACATGGTAAGAGATAGGTTTTACTCACAGTTCCAACACCCGTGCCTCCAAGTATCAGTCCTGACAAAGTTAAGGCCCCTGCAAGCTTGCAAAGGGTATCGACAACTGGTTTGCCTAGTTTTAGACCACTCATATTCAACTCAGAAAACCTATGATGGCCAAATTTAATTTAATTTAAATTTATGCATGCCCTCAAAACAAATTTTTGTAAAAATGCTAAGTAGATAGGGATGGTGATATTGGTATAATTGATTTTACCTTTTCAAAGTAGAAAGCTTGGACAGAAGATTGACAATAGCATTTCCAGATACAGGGCTGTTGTGTCCTGTCAAAGGTGGACTACCCATTAAACTATAAGATTACTGGTGTCAGGGATTAGAAAAGAATGATAGATATGTCATACCTATACAAAGATGGGCAAGTACAGATCTAGAGTCCAATGCATCAGCAATCTTTTGAACAGTTCTGGATGTGATACAACAGTTCTCTACATTCAAGCTACAAAGAGCTACACAATAGAATGCAAGTAAATAGAAGGAAGGAGATGTCTACAGCAGGAATCCACATACAAGCACATTTGAGAGACCATAAGTGCCTCACGGCATAAATTTGATATAAACATTTTCATATCTCATAATGAAACCATTTATACAAGAAAGGAGAGCAGGGAAGGACATGGTAATCAGCACAAGAGCTAACAGTAACCATATTAAAATTGGCAGAGGTCATGCTGCTCACCCGTACACTTTTTTAAGATTGTTGATAGATAAGATCCACACGCATCAGTAAGACGGTTTCCAGAAAGGTTAAGCACTTCTAGGCGAGCATATAGAACAGAGCATTCACAAATCTGACAAGAATAAGCAAAGTTAACATATTAACAAATTGGGAATTGGAAAAATGATATCCTAGTGATGCAAAACGAGAGAAGTATTCTTTTATCCTAGATCAATCGAGAATAGAATTGATAGATTATCCTGGTGTAAATACTATATGATTTGAAAATTATTAAAATGTCTTAGGTGAGGGCAAGGCAGGTGAATTTAGCTGGGGTTTAAGATATTTAAGACCACATAATTCATTTTCTTTTTCAGAAAATATCGCAACTAAAATCAAGTGTATGCCTCCATTATATCTTTTAGTTCAATTTTTTAAAATATTTCTGTAATAGAATTTAAGAGAAAGACCCTCATACCTAAAAATCCCACATAACAAGAACCAAAGTTAGAAACATGGAACAAGGGGAAGAAGGCAAACAAGCAAAGATCGAAAGGATTGCTAGTATCACACCTGAAACAAAGCTGTCGGGCCAAATCGATTGCAATGCAAATCAAGACTTAAGCCACCATAAGATTGACTTGATTCTGTGAACACCTTTTGAAGTTTCTCCATTGTCCCATTTCCTAAAATATTATCAATTCAATAAACGACAAAAAAACATTCAATATAGTAACCCGTTATATTTTTAATATATATTTTAATTCTTTTCGTAGTTTTAGTAATCAACTAATCATTTATTTAGTCACCAACAAAAGGACTTAATATCAGATTTAGTGGATGAAATGAGACTGTAGAACCAATAGAATGGCTGTGCTTGAGGAAGCATAAGAAAAAGTGGTTACCAGACAATTCACAGTTATGTAAAATACAGAAGAATCAATACCAGAAAGAGCAAAAATCAGGAAAAAAAAATGTACCTAACAAATTGTGTGAGAGGTCAAGCATTGCAAATGACTTTTGGGAATGCAGGGCATTTATCAACGGTGTAATAGACAAATCTTGCAGGTCACAGTCAGAAACCACAATTTCATCATCTGACACCTGTTGACAATAGGCCAAAAGCAGTAGTAAGGGGGCAAAAAAATCCAAATTCAATATCTGAAAATGAGAAAGCATATCTGTCAGTGTGAAGTGGCAATGAATGAATTGACACAGCTGAGATCCCTCTTACCTCTAAATTGTAAAGTTTCTTCAGTACCTTGATATTTGGTACCTCAGACAACTCCTTACAGCAGTCTATGTACATTTTTATCAGGCGCTTGTGAATCCATCCTGGTAAGGATAAAAAAATAAATTGCGTGTCTCACTTGGTGACAGTGGAAAGCTAAAAATTGATGTTAATACAGCTCCAACACAGCATACGCCTATGAGTGCCTATTTTCCAAATAATTTGTGCGTTTGTACCTATTCTGTTGTCTTCCTATGCTTAAATAAATTGCAAGGTCAATGAATATTAAATTACAAGTCAAATAAATTTGTATCCATGAATAACAACCATGCTGCAACTAGTCAAGATATCCAAATATTTGTCCATCACATATGTGCAGATAATTAAATTCTAAGAGATAAAGTTCCATACAAGAAGCCAGATAAAATACAAAATAATTAAGAACATGACATAAGAAAAGTGTGCGGCGATATCATTGAATGAACAAAAAGCAGAAGTAAAGCATACCATCAACAGAAGCTTCAACCATGTCATTTCCCAGTAGTTCCTTAAGATTTTGAGTTGTTTCAAGCGATTCGAGATCTCTTCCAGCACATTTGATATGCTCAATAATGGGCAACAAACCTATTATAGATTTATAAGTGCAATCAAGCCACTCAGCAGAAAAAAATGGTGAACAGAAGGAAAACTGCAATAAATATATAAAATTAGATATAATATGGGAACTACTGCAGCTTAATTGTCTAATACTGAAGAATGGAATCAGCTGTTTGATATTGTTTTACATGTTGGACACCAATATCTATGCAATATGAATGCTTCCTGTGACCACTGCTGTTGTCAGAATAAGTTTTCTCCAGATCCATTCAACTACTATGCAGTACAAGAATTTGTTGTAAACAACTTAGGCACAACCAGTTTATATTTAGATTCATTTTCCAAACATTTATATGTTGGATCTTGCTGTGTGACAATGTATGTCTCTTTCAATGCCTCATGTTTGGTGCCTCTGTCCAAGCCTTGTTGCCAGAGCATGGACTACGATCCATAGGAAGCTTAAAACATGTAAGAGACGAGTATACTACTGTCAAGTGTCAATACATAGGCAAACTTTTTTATGCTGAGTCACTTGGTGACACTTGTCTACTATAACTCTATTTGAAGCAGACCAACCACTTGGCGCATTGAAACCGATTAAGTTTGTTTTAAGGGTTTTTTTATTCTTGAGACTATTTAGGTAATTAAAAAATGTTCCCATGTTTGTATCAAGTTTTGAAAATACTATTCCCAGGCAAAACTTATTCCAGACATGTTTGATTAGCATAACTCTCATCATTTCATGCCCATAGAGGGAGGTGGGAATAATTCATTCCCATGATTGAAGTTTTACACATTGGGTAGTGGGAGGGATGAATAACTTTTTCTTTAGTTTTAGGGATACTTTTGTTTTATCATCAAATATTCCTGGGAATATACTTTTAAACCATATAAAAGTACCAAACATAGGCATAAAAGAATTTCAAGACTATCATTCCTAGGAATAAAATTCCCAGGATTCTTATACCAGGAACGAAAAACCATTCCTTGAAACAAATGCAACCCTAAATCCTAGTAGAAGCATTCATAATAAAATTTCCATCAAGCTAGGAATTAAGAGGAAAATTTCAGACATATGCCAAAAAAAAAAAACCAAAGAATTATCACTTAGGAAATCTTGTTGAACATGTGTATTTTCACTTCAGGAAGAAATAACCAAAGTCAGAAATCATGTCGATCCAAGTTGAAAATAAAGGTTAGTTAATCCATGTCTAAAGAATACTTATGGTAAACAAACAAGAAATTAACCATAAATCCTGAGTCAATGATCTCTTATTTTATTATACAAGGAGCATCTGTCACCATTTATATGCCCCGCAAGAATACCCCAAATCCATTTTCTTCTCTTTATATCCAATCCATAAATTAATTTTCAAGTTAACTGGAGATCTTCTGTGCTAATATTATTTATTGACAGTAAACACTTAATGTACCTACCCTCTGATCTCTTTTCTGTTGGATATTGTAGGTAGTATAAGCATGCAAGTACGGCCTTCAAAGAGTCAACTTTCAACTGATTACCAGTGGTACACAAGGTTGCTTCTACGTGTATTAGATCATTCCCAATCCGGCAAGTAATATATTGCTGCTGCTAGAGAATATAAAGGAGGCCAGAGGTTAGAATAATATCCATTAGATGAACATGATCATTTAGCAAAAACATGAATCTCAAATATATTCATGTTCAAGTCATAACAGTAGAACTCACATCATTTTGGGAATGATGTGGCATTGGATGGGCAATACCAATTTGTTTGCCAGAGACATCTGTGTCACATTTAGAACCATTACGAAAATCAGGTTCAGCAACTATATCATTGCTCAAGGACTTGGAATGTCTTCCAGTTTTAGTGTCTGTATGTGGACTCGAGCATTTGAAAGAACTACTACTTTCTTCAACATTAATTGCACACTTAGATCCCTTCTCTAAGATAACCTGCCATCCCAAAATAGCTAAAGCATTCATATGCTGATACTTGAGCAAAGCTCTGACACACAAACAAGTGGAGATTTCTTTACCTGAATTTTACAAGGACTAGCTCTACTCGTGTCTGCAATCAGACAAGTATCAGTCAGTACATAATTTTGGTATAGGGGAATCTTAGGGTCAGAGCAAAGCAAGTAACAAGGAAAACATACTTGCATCACAATTAGGCAAGTCCTCTGACAAGAAGTCACGATCCTTTCTGCTTGAACACTCCTCCTCCTCCTCGTCATCATCATCAGAAAGAATTATACGGACACGTTTCCGACCAACAACTGTCTGATGGTTGCTGGTTGTATTTTCCTGACTTCTGGGTGAGTGCTCAGCTTGCTTGGTAGAGTTGGTAAAACTTTTCATGTGGCCTGCTATATTTCTGGATGAACCTTTTATGGAGCCATAAAGTGACATAAGAGGCAAGTCATCTTTCAATTCTTTTCCACTGGTCAGAGTTTTTGATCTAGAAAATTTCTTTGGAAAGCAAACATCATCCGACCCACTATTTGACAGATAATCATCTGCTTCAGTATCAGTCTCAGAGCAACAATCCTCTGGCATACTTTTAGCTTCTGGCTCTTTTTCTTCTGATTTCTTCAGCTTATCAATTAGAAGCTTCAACCTCCTATAAAGGATCACAATTGGTCAGAAGTAATAGTAAATGTCCATCAAAAGGAACCATGATAATGGAAACTAAAATTGATTCAGTTTTGCTGATTTCCAGATTTAGGCCTCTGGAGGTTAGAATACTAAAACAAATCTACGAGTAACACAACAAAATTGCAAGAATATATATGTAAGGATATGGACTTTCATGAATCAATTACCTCGTCTCATCCTCATCATCAAATCTGATCATATTGCTATAATGCATATTTTCCAAGGCAGAGAGTTGGACATCAGGAAGATCTGCTTCAACAGCAATCCTGCAATATCATGCGACCAAATCAATCCAGTTCACCATATAAGACCATCAAAAGGAAGTCAACAAAGAGGGTTTTTTTTGGCAATTGCAATCAAGGAAGAGTCATGTAAGTCATAGACAGTCAACTTTCATTAAGTATTGGCTGCAGCTGCAACTGCTTACTGCTATACACACCTTGTGGCATTTCAGCCAAGTAAACAAATTTGTAGCCAGTATGGCTGGGTCATCAACACAGAAAGGAATGGAAACTACAACATGAGAAATTTTCTATCCAAGTAATTTTCTTTCATGATTCACAAAAAATGGCAGTGGTCCAACACTTGCAAACTTATTTCCCATTCCATAAAGCTCTCTAATTTCAAGAAATAAAATCAGCCAGTAAAGTTTAACATGTGGATATCATTACCTGTAGCTCTCTTGAAATGCATCCAAGGCTTCTCTCCAATTATGAGTAGAATCTAAAACATTACCAATATTAATTTTCACCAGTGCTTGCCCCTGTAATCATTACTGGCAAAGCATAAGAATCAACCAGATGACAATATAAAACATAAACTACTACACTTATCTTTGGATAACAAAAATAACCATGGACATCTACACACGTACAGAAATTTAAGTGTCCCATCTGGATTTGAGGCTTCATGTAACCAAATTATTCAAATAATCATAGATGTTTTTAGATTCAGATTTGTGTTATATTGAAGTGTTACTTATTAGGACTTTGGAAGAAAAAGAGAAAAAAAAATAGTGTTAAATTTATGCAATAGAACAAAGAAAAAGTTACCTCTAAGTTACCAATTGTTTTGTACATTTCCCAACTCTTTTTGTACCATTTGATTGCCTTGTTGAATTTTCTGAGCTTCTGGTATGATTCTGCAACATCCATATATGTGTCACCTAGCCTTTGCCTATCACAGAGTTCACTTGCTATTTTCTTCTTCTCCTTAGCAAATTCACAATGCTAACAAAACATTGATTAGTCAGAAAGGTCACACTTAAGGTTAATTATTATTATTAAATATATCATAGCTTCACAAGGAGTCTCAGCATTCACCACATAATGCTAATAACTTATCAAACATGGAGAAAAACATCATTCGATCATATCTACAAGTCTGAGAGAAGTACATGCACAATGACTCATGATTTATGCAAATATGATACCTGCAACAATCACCAACTTAAATACATTACTGAATAAAGTCTCACTTTTTCTTCCAATTGAATAAGTTGCTCAGACAAAACAAACCGTGCCTAAAACATCAATAAATTTGTGCTTAATTAATAACTAACCATGAACAGGTGTACATCCGTTTCTCAAAGCAACATTAATAATAATAGATCTAGTCAAAAAGACTTCTTTACGTGTAGCAAAACAAACTGTAAAACTTCAAATGAAGAACTGATACCTTCTCCCACGCAGAGATCATCCTTGTTTTCTCAACAAGGCGTTCAAGAGACGCATTTTGCAGCAGCAAACATTTGCGCTCATGTGGTGTCCCCCTGGCAGTGGCTATATCTCTTTTGAGTTTTTTAAGGTTCTGCTGTTCTTTCTTTATATCAGCCATCACTTTAACAGCTTCTCTCAGAGTTTCAATATTCTGCTCAATTTGCCTAACCAAAGCATCCTCGTCTTCCAATGTCTTTGCCAAAGCAAGCGCCTTCTCGTAGTAAGACCGCGCTTCTTCATACTTCTGAGTCCTGTAATGCACTTCACCAAGATTAATATAGCCCTTGGCTTCCCCTTGACGGTGTCCAATTCTGTTACAAATCTGAATATCCCTCTTGATATTTTTTCTAGCTTCATCCCAATTCCTTAGTTCCATATACACATTCCCAAGGTTATGATGCAGCCTGCTGCGTCCATCATCAAATTCACTAATCTCCTCTTCGTCACAAATATCCAATCCTTTCGTTAAGATCTTCCGCGCCTCGTGCAAGTTATCAAGATCCATTTCCAGCATGCCAATGTTGTTGTGAGCATCTATGTATTCCTTGAGAAAAGAAGACTTGTTGTTGGGAGGGTTCTCCTTGAGATCCACCGCTAGCTCCATCGCGCACTTGAAATACTTCTTAGCGTTGCGAATCGAGTTATGGTCGTGATCTGATCGCGAGAACAGTTCGTGGTAAGTGCGACCGAGTTGCGTGCTCGCTCTTTGTTGCTCAACGAGGTCGTTAGCGTCCCTCGCAAGCTCTAGATGTTTTTTCTGCAATCAAGAAAACTCTCAGCGTTAAACGAGAAAGCAGCAATCAGAGCTTTGAATTTGGTAGGAGGAAACATTGACCTGGTAAATTAGCGCATCGGAGAATTGTTCGAGACGGAGATAGATTTCGCCGAGGGATTGGCAAGTTGGGAGCAAGTGTTTCTCCGGCAAATGCTTGAGCGAAACGTCGTAATCGATTCGAAGCCATTTGAGGGCTTCGACGTATTCTCCTCTGTTTTTCAGTATGTCGCCGATGACGTTGGCCCACCGTGCTTCCTCACGGTGGTTCCCCTCCGTCTTGGCGTGTCGGTATGCGGTTTTCGCCGCCTTCAACTCCGCGTCCATCTCGAAACGACGTCGAACGGTGTCGTCGGGAGTTCTCTAAAACTTTGTGGGATTCGATTTGCAAAGGCAAAGGCGAATGCAAATGTTACTCCCCGCCGTCTCTTCGAGGTTTAAATGAATTTCCTCGCTCCCGCCAAAAGGAGCAATTTCTTGAATGCCCTTTTTTAAATGCAAAAACTGTTTTATTAATTATTCTTATTAATTACTAAAATTATTGACAGATAATGTTTAGTTTTATATGTAGAATATTTGTGTGTTTTTTTTCAAATAATTTGATTAAAATTATTTGAAAAAATAACATAAATAATTATGCCATGAAAAAGTAGTGCATGTTTAGATAAGTAAATTTTAGGAAAATAATAACTTATTTTTGTCAATTTTGTAAGAACTTTGAAAAAATTATTTCGATAAAAATAATTTCTTCTGAATATTTATCACGGTTCTTAAAATTAAATTGAACTTATCAGTCAATCAAATGAATAAAAACTAATTTAATAATTAATTCATCCGGCTCAAAAATCTATCAAAATAATAATAAAGTCTAACTGGTATATTTTTCGTGAACACAAATATTCGATTATAGATAAAGTATGGTAAAAAGATAATTAAGTGGTCCAGTTTTAATTGACCTAGAAAAATAACCAAGTGCCAGGTGAATTTATAAGAAAAATTTAGTCAAGAGTTAAATAATGATCAAAATTAAACCCTTGATTTGTCTTTGTTTTTTTGTTTAAATATCACGTGAATCTTACGATATATATGTTTGTTAGAATGGGTGTGGGAATGAGTGCAAAATTTTCCCTATTTGCAAAAGTGGGAGTGGGCTTGGAGCAGAGGCATCAAACATCGTTATTTATATCAATTTAACAACTTTTTATATAATATAAAATTGACTAGTGTAATATTAGTTTAAATCTTTTATATTAAATATAATAAATTTTTAAAAATAAAATAAATAAATATTTTATTATATTACTTTATTTTAACAGATATATTTTTAAAATTTATATAAATATTAAATTTTAAACAATCAACAATTAACTCGATTAAATTTGCATTATATAAAATTATTAAATTATATCAAAATTTGATAGGATTTTAATTTTTTTTGTTTTATACATAAAAAATGTTTAATAACATATCTTAAATTATTGATTAAGAATAAAAAATAACATGCATTTCATTATTTATTATTCTGAAATTAATCTAACTTTTTCATACTTAGAAAGAAATGTGCTACTTACTATCATTTATATATATTATTTTCACATTCTTATTTTTTATAATTGCTAAAAATTGTAAATTAACTATTGTAATAGTTAAATAACTTAAATTATAGTAATAAATAAAAATAATGTTAAAAATACATATTTTACTAAAAATATAATTTATTTCTAAAATTATATATTTTTAATACTTTTCTTATTTATTTCAATATAACGTTTGAATTAAAATGTAGGTAATATACGAATTATTTAAAATATATAAGTATATCAATTAATAGAAAAATAGTGAATGGACTTATCGCGGGTTCCCAACCGGCTCCGAGGATGAGTTGGATTTTTAAAAAATAACTACTTTATTTTTCAACGGGTACTTCAATTTATATTACATGCAGTTTAATTAACTAAAATACACGAATAAAAAAATAAAATATGATTTTCACACTTTAAAATACATCAAACACAATGTTAAATTATAACAATTACTAAAAATCAAATATTATAAATTTCAATGTGATATTTTTTAAGTCAAAAGTAAAATATTATGATAAATTTCTAACGACATTACTTTTAACAAGTTGCAAGTTTTGTAGCACTTTTTAAATTTAATAAAAAAATGATACATTAATTTTAACTAGTTATGTATAATAAGATCAAATTAATACAATAATTAAGTTTTTCTATAATCAAAGTCTCTAAAAATTTTTGTAATCGGTTATATTTCATACTTAAATATTTCTATTTTAGGGTTACATAAGAAAAAGTAGCTATGAGATAAAAAAAAAGTAAAATAATAAACAGATATATAAATTTAGCATTATGTATTTAATTTAATATATAGGTATATAGATAATATACCCTGTTTATTGTTGACATTTTTGTGTAGACATCTACCGAGTAAAATACTCATTATCATTCATACCTATTTGACTTACGTAACAAGTACATTCATCTTTAGTGTATTTTGAAGATTAAAAAAACTTGCGGGGGAAGACAAGAACGTCGAAACAATAATAAAGCAAATAAGTAAACGAATACAAGAAGTTACGTCAAAAGAAGTATTTTATTTGGATACTTCTCTGTTACCGGCATCTCTACGAATTTCTTCTGTCTTGCCAAAAAGAGAGTAAAAACTACTTTATTGTTTTTATTTTCTCTTAAAATTATTTACAAATAAATTTATGTTTTTGTACTTACAATGGTTGCCTATTTTTTTTCCATGAAAAATTAATAATCTCATTGAATAAATTATTTGAGAAAATAAATAATATAAAAAAATTAGACCATAAAAAATAGTGCATGTTTAGATAGGTTTATTTTAGAAAAAAATTATTAATTTTTTGACAGCTATGTAAGAATTTTTGGAAGATATTCTTAATATCCATAAAAGTAGAGATGTCAATGAGTAGGGTATAGGTAAGGTACTATATTACTCATCCCCGTACCTGCGTTTTAAAAAATACTCGTACTAGGCCCTATACCTGCGTGGGTATGAACATTAATCTTTGTACACATATCCTCTGGGTACCCGCATACCCATCTTATACCCATTATCCGCACTTGTTTGAAAAAAAAAATATTTATAAAAAAAAATATGTTTATATAATTTTATATAAGTAGTATAATAATACAAAAATTCAATATATAATTATCGAACAAGGTACAAATATAGATAAAAAAACAAATATTCAAAGATCATAAATGCTAAATATATCTGAATATAATAATTTTCTAAACTAAAATTCTTAGAAATAATAAATGAAACTAAACACACAAGTTATTTGTCAGTGATAACCTTATCTTGTGTGAGATTTGATCGGTTGACAATGTCAGAGCGACAACAAAATAGATTTGCACAACGATTGTCCCTTTGTGTGGGATCACTTGGTGACGGCATTGACAATTAACTCTAATGAATAACATTTTAAAGTTGTTAGATTTTAATGAGATAGACATTAAGAATGAGAATAGAGTTAGAGTAGAGAAGTTTAATACTAACAACAAAAAACGGATACATAAAATATTTTTTTAACTTTTAAATTTGAAATTGTAAGAAAAGTAATAGATTTAATTAAAATAATATAACATAATATATATATATATATATTAATACTAGTATTTTTAACTCATATATTATACGAAAGTATTTTATTAAAAATACAAATTTTTGAAAAATTATTTTAATGAATTAAATATTTATAATGTATATAAATTTTAAAAGAAAGAATTTGAAAAAAAATAAATGGTCATAATAAAATTTTATAATAAAGAAATATACGTGTATATTAAAAAAATTATTTTTTATCTGAAAAAATTAACAAATAAAAATTAACAATAATTTTTTATATTTATATCTTTTCAAAAACTTCTTTGAACATAAATAAATAGTAAGAATAATATTATTTAGATTTAATAGATTATAATCGTGTTTGTAATACATATATTGCATAAAAAATATTATTTTAAATTAAAATATAAAAAATAAAATTTAAATATTATTAATAAATAATAAGTTTACGGTAATAGTAGGTAATTGTAAAATTTATAAAATATTTATAATATATTTATTATTTATCATTAACTTTATGATTTAAACATCAATATGATTTTATTAACAAAAATATTTGTGTGAAAAATATTTTATGTGTGTCATATATAAATAATATTTTAAAAAAAGTCAATCTCATATTAACTATGTAATAATTAAATTGTATTAGCCTAATTAAACGATATAAAATAGTAAATAAATTTTTTTATTAAAAATATAAACAAAATAATTTTTTGGCTTACTTTATTATTAAATATATTTTTATATTAATCTTATATAGTTTCACATAAGTAATATAATAATATAAAAATTTAATGCATAATTATAGAATAAAGTTTAAGCATATATATATATATATATATATATGTATGTATATGTGCAGGTATGGGATGGATACTTAGATACCCATATCCGCACTCATCCCCATTAAAATTTGTAGATTTTTACTCACACATATACCCATACCCATATAGCGAGTAAAGAGTAAATTTTGCGGGTGTTCAACGAGTACTTTAACCATTGTCATCCCTACTTAAAAGATATTTTACGTAATTATTAAATTCAGAAATAATTCATTCATACAAAAAATTTATGATTAATCACATAAGATGAGTGAAACTTTTCAAAACAGGTGAAAAAAATCATTCAAACAAACATGACAAGTTAGTTGAAAAATCATCTGGATGAATAGAAAAATTCATGCAAATAGACAAGAAAAATCATTTAAATACGTAAAAAATAGACATCATAACCATCTAAATGAAAAAGAAAAGATAAAATTATCAATTATATAAAAAATAAAACAACTACATAGACAGGAAAAAGAAAAAATGTTATATTAAAAATCATCTCAAAAAACATATAATATGTTAATTAATATTAATATATTTTCTGCATTATACAACTACATTTTTATTTTTAAAATTAAATTTAATAAAATATTATTTATGTAATCAAAATATAAATTTAAATTACTATAAATTACAAATTTTTTCATAAATAGTATGTTATATTCTTTCAAAAAATTAATTTTAATAAATCACTTAACAGTATTTGAAACAAAAATAATAAATAACATTTTCATCTACCACTGTAATATTTACACTTTCCTTACACTTTAGTATGAACAAAGGATTGGATACAAAAGATAACTTAAAAAAATTAGTAAAATCTCATGTATCCCCTACGTAAGACTATTAAAACTATTCTAGGATGCTATCTTCTCTGACATTCTTCTTGTAACCTCCATGATTGCCTGATGTCTTCTCTTAGATAAATCTTTAATAGCTTCTTGAAACCTCTGTTCAATCATTTCTAATTCTGTTTTCAAATCATCTTTGGATTCACACGAAGAGGAAACAAAATTAAAATGACCAGAGAAACTCATGCCATTACTCTCCATATCTGAAAACTTAGTCTTATCAAATGCTCCAATTTCAGATGCAATCGAGGATCGACTCCCTCTATCGAATCCTGATTCAGCAGATGTGAATGAAACCATAGAAAATTTGTCAGTGAAGAAGTCTGATGTTGCAGAAGCATATGAAATTTCAGAACACAAATCATCCGTCTTAGTTGCTTTTTGAAGACCAAGGCATTCATGAGCTAAAATTTCATCAAAATCCATGTTATCAAAGTTTTCTTTTGCAATTGATCTCATAGACAAAGTTGAGGAACCTGACACAACTTCAGAGCTTCCCTTGCTTTTTTTCAAATCCAAGTTTCTGTGGTTTGCATGACTGGCTTTGCTCATTGGAGAAATCAAATGATCAACTGCTATGCAAGGTTTCCATTCAGGAATCAAATTCATCAATAACAAATCTATCAATTCTGTGATGAATTTAACATTCTGATCAGCAAGTTCAAGTTGCTCAACCATTTCACTTGAAACTGAGACAGCTGTATCACTGTCAAGGTAAAAAATGAAATGAATATTTCTAGCTCGTCCTGCATATAAATGATAAAGTATGTTAAATATATTATAATTTTACACCAATAAATTTAAAAGACAAGGAATTAATTAAAAGTTATACTAACCACTTTCATCAGATATCCGCAGAACCAATGATACAGATTTCTCATCATTTTCTTCACCTTTTAGAAAGAATATATCACCTTTCTTTTGCCTCCTTATCTCAACACACGAAGAACTTGATGCAGTTTCAGTAGATTTATCAAGTACAGTGATCACAGGCAACTCACGGGTGTCACCAACATCTATAGAAATGTCTCCACTACATGTACTAACAGGACCTTCTGACACCATACAGCGGCTTTCAAAGGCTCCCAATTTGGGAAGAACAATATCTGGCAATGGAAAAGGACTCTTTGTTGAACTTTTCAGTTGAAGAAAGGGGTCCATCAGAAGTTCCTTTGCTGACAATCTTTGAGGTGCTGGGACAATACATTTCTCAATAAATGATTTTGTTTCTGGATCTCTCACTTTAGAAATAGCAACAGGTTTTATACCCTGTAACATAAAATGCTGTATGACTCAAAATCTTTTTTATATGTTTGTGCACGTTAAAAAAAAAATTACTAATTATATAAGACTTACGGATGAAACTTTTTTGTATATTTGTGCTGAGTTTCTGCATTCACTGTAAGGATACTCAGCAGTCACCAACTCAAGTATACACATACCAAATGAATATATGTCAGCTAATTCATTATAATTTTCATCGTACAATTCAGGTGCCATAAACTCCGGGGTTCCTATAAAAAGTACAGGTGCGTAGATAAAACTAGTATAGAAATCAAACAACATTATAGCAACAAATACTATTATTCTTGTATCTATGAAGCGGGAACATGATTAAAATTTTGGTTAAGATTTTCACAATACAAAGATTAAACCATATAAAAAGTACAGGCAAAACATACCAATTACACTTTTGGCATTACTTCGCTCCAAGAAAGTCGCCAGTCCCAAATCTCCAATTTTAACTTCGCCTTGGTGACCATTAATAAATATGTTGTCACATTTCAGATCCCTATGTATAATTGCTGGGTTGTGCCCATGAAGATAGTTTAATCCTGTTAAAATTTGTCTTGCCCATCCTTTAACAGCCTTCAAGTCAACCTTCTTGTGTTTTTTACGATACCTAAATCATGCATTGCATCCACTAACAACAAGGTTGATTTCACAATAAAAGGTGTAAAGAGATTAACAATGCATATAAAGGGGTAGGATAAACATACTGTTTGAGGCTACCCGAAGTAAACAACTCTGTTATCATATTAACGGTCTTGCGCTTGTCATCAATCCAAGAATTATAGAATCTTACTATGTTATTATGCCTTAGTGATCTCAAGAGATGCACTTCAGAATATAACCTCTCTAAGTCACCTGGTGATTGTAACACTTCGTCAATCTGAACTTGACTCCATGCAACTTCAATTCCATTGATTTCATCAAAAGCTTTATAGCTGATAAGTCACAAATTAAGGAAAAGATTTCCAGCTATAAACAAACAAGGTCAACTCTAATAATAAAATTATCCTTTGTCTCGACCATAACATTCATTGCATTATATTCTAAACATTCTTCTCAGCAAACATGTTTTAATTTCAGCAAAACAAAAATAGCGCATGATAAAAAGACATATGTAGTGCTGCTACATAATCCAACAAATTAAGCAAAAACAATGGATACACAGTTTTAAAGGCTCCTTTGCCGATCACTTCTTTATACTGTCATGAATACAAAAGGGCATAATTAGCTTAGTGCATTGACAGGCATTTTTCGTCCCAAAGGGAAAAACAAGAAGAAACAATTACGTTACCTTGATGTAGCGACAAGTTGGATCAATTTCAAGGACATCAGGATCTGGAGGCTCCAAATGCCCTGCACCCTCTTCCGAGCTTTCCGTACCCGTTAGACTCATCTATACGGTGCTATAATCCAAATCAAGCAAGGCAAACAATTCAATTTGAAACCATCTTCAGAATCAAAATTAAGAACAAGCAGACGTTAAACATGTTAAAATTCGAACAAACAGTTTGATTAATAAATATATGAATGCCAAATAAAAACTCAAAGCAAACAAAATGCACGAGAAATGATGAATTTAAACAATGCTCCAGCCACGAAATTACGAAAAAAATAAAAAGGAACCCAGCTAACGAGAATTTGAGTTTCATACTTTTTTATTATCTTTTTACCTGAAAATAGCCTCTTTGAGTGCTTAGTTTCTGAGAAGGAAATGATAAAAAGGAGAGAGGAAATAGAACCCTAATTGGAATTGCGAGCGACGGAAGAACTAGAGATATGGGACAAAGTACCAGCCTTTCTCCTCTCTTTCTCTCAAAAAAGTTAAATTTGAAAACAGCACTCTCTATTTATACCTATCTATCCACCTTCTTAGTCCTCTCTATAAATATGTCTTAAACAAATCTCAATCATTGTTTGCTATGTCCTGTCATCTAATTCCACATCGCCGTCATGTTCATTCGTGCGGGTGCTTTACCCTCGTCGTTTTCTGCTTCTTTATTGGGGCTAAATAGCACCTCAATGGGCCTCTCTCTCTCTCTCTCTCTCTCTCTTAATGGCCCATAAACCCAATAAGATTAGTGGACCAAATATAAAATGATACAAATCACAAACGCTGACGTTTTGACGGTCCTTCCTTCCTTTCCTTTTTGATTGTTCGAGGGGCAACGCAAGGCAAGGCAATTTTGGGTTCGTAGGAATGGAGTTTTTGGACGAGGACACGAAGCCAAGGTTCGTGTTTCAGTCTGGAGCAGTTGCAAGCACAGAGCCACAACCGAACCACAAACCAACCAAGCCATTCGTCTTCGTCACCGTTTCTCTCTCTTCCCTCTTGCTCACACTGTCTCTCTTCTTCCTCCAATCCGAACCCTTCAAATCGCTCCTCTTATGGCTCTCACTCTCTCTCTTCCTCGGTCCCTTCGCTCCTCCCTCCCTCACCGGCGGCGATGTCCGCGTCGGCCGCGGCCACGTCGTTCACTTCCCCGATCCGGAACCCGAACCCGACGACGATGCTGATAGGAGACCTTTGCAGCGACGATCGAAGCCGCGCAGATCCGAGGATGTCGCCGTCGTCGGTCCGTTCATCCCAGCCGGTAACGGAGGCGCGTCGGAGAAGAGAAGAGGCGATGGTGGAATAGAGAACCGTGTGGCGGTGGTGGAGGAGGAGAAGGAGTGGAAGGAAGAGGACGTGGAGGTGCTGAAGAAGCAGATGGCGAAGCATCCGGTTGGGAAACCGGGACGGTGGGAGGCGATTGCAGCGGCGTTCGGAGGGAGGCACGGTGTGGAGAGTGTGATAAAAAAGGTGAAGGAGTTGGGGGAGAAGAGAGTGGATGATTCGGAGTCGTATGCGTTGTTCTTGAAGAAGAGGAAAGCATTGGATAAGAGAGTTGTGGAGAACGGGGGCGAAGATTTAGGTGGTGGAAGCTCTGTGACGGTTGAGAGTGGTTGGAGTTCTGGAGAGGATATTGCGTTGTTGAATGCTTTGAAAGCGTTTCCTAAGGATGTTTCCATGAGATGGGAGAAGGTTGCTGCTGCGGTTCCTGGAAAATCCAAGGCCGCTTGCATGAAAAGATTTGCTGAATTGAAGAAAGGGTTTCGGAGTTCAAAGGCTGCTGCGGATGGGTAGATTCAGCATTCTCTCCTTAATTTTTGTTGAATTAGAATACGAGGGAGTGTGAAATGCTGTTGGTGAGGTAAATGGATTTGTGGACTTATAATTTATTTGGGATTTTTTTGGCTTTTTAGTTATGAGGTACGATTTATGTTGCTTATTTGTTTTGATGAGTCATTCTTTGCTCGATCTTGTGTTATTAAGTAGCTCTCGTCAAGATGACACTCCAATTCTGTCTGCGTAACTTCAAAAGGCATTGAACGATCATGATTGTGTATTGAGAATTCCTTACAGTGATAAACTGAGAATAGATATTTAATGTTTAAACTTGGTGATATGCTTGATATAGTTTTGAAATTATCTTATGTTCAGTTGTACCCATTATCTTAATTCTTTCCTTTTGTACTTCTATGGCGAATGTGTTCATATTCTGGGGTTTTGAATGTTTTATACTTTCATTTCAGTATCCTATTTTGTGAAATGCATCTCTATTGGTTAGTGAGAATTTGAGCAATTGGCCTTTAAATTCATTTTGTACAAGGTGCTTACAATTTCAAACATGGTTAATCCTGAATAAGTTTTGTTTGTTTTCTTGGGTTAGATGAAAGTTTTTAGCATGTTATGTTATGTCAGCTGGTTGGTAGCTGTACCATCCTTTTTAGCATTATCAATATATAAGCGGGCTGTAGGGAATTGACTTCTTATCTCGCACTTGATTTCAGTTAAGCGTTAAGGGGTCTTAATAATGTCTTGGTTGTTTAACTGTGGATCATCATGGGGATAATTGGTTTATCAAAGAGATTGTTCTACTTACTCCTTCCTTGTTTGCAAAATTACACTAATCTTCCTTGCTTTATTATTTTTAAGGTTATCGTGTATATGATCCGCACTTGGTGCATGAAAACAGGGTATGTGTGCGTGTTTTAAAAAATTAACGATTGTCAACATTTAAGAATAATATACGAAGTAAAAGAGGTATGTCGAACGAGCAGGGTGTAGATGTGCTTAGTGCTAACCTTAAGGAAAGCCAATGTGATTAGTCCTTTATCATTTGTTTTCATGTCCAATGATATTGGAACCAGATGCATACAGGTAAACAACTAGGTTTAAAATTCTGATTGTAGTATATAATATAGTTAAATGTCAACCACAGTTCTGAATCTTGGTCTCTGTGTTTGGCTATTGAAAAGTTGCATATTTTATGAAGTGTGTTTTTGGAAACACGTTAGAAAATCTTTAAACGTGGATCTGACGTCGAAGTGAGGTTTATATGCATTTCAACAAGAAACCAAACATGTATTTACATTATTAAAATTTTAAAAGCTTTTACCTTGGCCGTGATTGCTTTAGATAAGTTGGTTGCATTATTCTCTGAAACTTTCCTTGCCATGGTCTCTTACACTAAATGATACTTTAGGGAAAAGGTGAATAAAAACCATCTCATCTTACCCTGTCTGGCTTTGGGTTGTTATGGTTTTTAGTGCTTAGCAGCTTCCCGAGTTCTGCAAGATTTCATAACTTGAACTATAGAAGAGTTCCAATTAGAAGATTCTTATTTTAATTCTTAGCCGCAAATAACTGTTGTCATTCAAAGTGGGATCTGGTTTTACATATTGCTTCTGGCTGACAGCTTTCTGAAATAACATTTTTTTAAGTTACAAAGGCTTTTGTTTTGTTTTATCCTTCGAATCTGTATACTCGTAATTTATGTCTCATGCTTAAAACGCTGAGCTTGCCTGAGGGACTATTTTATCCTTTAATTTGAAGTTAAAATGTTATTACTTATGAATTATAAAAATGAAAATGTTGTTGTATAATTTGTTTTGAGATTGAAGTATGAAATTTTATTTGTTATCGTCTGACAGATGGACGGTGAAATTCTATATTGTTTTGATGCACCTAAATCTTGTTTTGGTTGTTCCCCGTCAATCGGATCGTAGCTGAACCTAGCGCATTGGTACGCATAATATAACCGAGTCATGAACGTTGGAATCTTGACTTTGTTTTTGGGCCACAAATGTTAGAACTTGATGTTACACAGTTACTGACACTAGTTTTATTAAGTACTAAAAAAAGGACACGTGTTATTAAATCCAGTCCCTGAAGTAAAACACAATGTGGTTAGTATTTAATATGCTCAATGATTATCTAGTTTTTATGGTACAAATGATATTTGACAGCTCTATGTTTAACATGGTTAAAGTTTTATGCAGTTTTTGAATTATCTAGTTCCATCTCATTATCACGTAAAAGTTTAGAAGTGTTACATATAATACGTTTGAATTCACTACAGGTTATTTAACTCGATTTAATAAATGATTAATTTTAATTATAATTTTTTACAAACTATATATTAAGTGAATTATTTTATAAAACATATTAATTTAAAGATTAATTATTTTAGTCAAAATTTCATGCGATATTAATACAATGCATCCTATTTAGCTTGCTACAATAGAAGCAACTACTGAGGTAACAATTTAAGAATTTAATTGTTTCTACTCTTTCTTATACAAAGATTTTAAACTAAAAAAATAAAGCTGAAATAGCTGAAATCGTATATATATTGTCATGCTCAAATGAACTATGATATTAATATTTAAAAGTGAGCTAGAGGAACGACATCCAACAATAATTTACAGAGCTTCAACTAATAAATCTTTACAAATACATTGACAATCCAATACTCTGAGACTCCTATCCCATTCACCGGAATGAATGAAGAAATAACACGAAAGGCACTTAACCCATCAATCATCCATATAATCATCTCAATAATTAAAAAAATTTGAAAAATGAAAGTTTGACATATTTAATAAAGAAAAAGAAGAAGCAAAGATTCAATCTATTTGACCTTGTCACTCAGATAAGTTGTCGGTACCAAGATCGAAGCCGTAGTCAAAGGCCTTGACTTCCAACACAAAGCCAACCTACCCTTCTCAAATTGCACCCAATACCCTCCACCAAACAGGCTTACCAAGAACTTGGCTTGAGAAATATTGCATGTGCTCATAGCAACTCGTTTAAACCCTTTCAAGGAATACAATCCTTCTTCCCACAATATTCTCTCCTTTCTTTCACAAGGAAACTGCCTCACACTGTCCAAGATTCTTAGTCCTAAAATCTCTTTTTCTATCAGGGTCAACTTCATCTTGTGGCTACCCCATAAACTACTAGCAAGGGAATCATAAAGTGCAGTATAGTGATGCAAAGCCTCACAGAAGAACTCCACAAAGGACATGGATTTGAGTCTAGAAAAATTAAATAATTCCTCTTCCACTAAAACAACAAGCTTAGGGGATAATTTTCTGACACCATCAAGAAAAGTTTTGACCAATAAGAAACTCCTATTGGGCATCCACTGATGTATCATGCAGTTGACTATAAGTGTTTGACCAAGTTCAACTCTTTGAAAATCTTCTTCCCTTGTCATCATTATCTGATCAAACGTGAATGGAAAATTGATAGAGGCAGCAAACTCTTTAAGCCTTCTTCCTGTTTGCTGAACAGAAGCAGCACCTCTTTGGTCCGCTGTGATGGCTGTTACTCTAAGTGAAGTAGTAGTACGCTTCCTCATTGCAAGGTCAACCATCAATGGAGGCCACTGAATCCCTTCCATGATGTCAAAATCAATTATGTGAACATCCTCAGCACCTTCTGTAGCTTCCAAAATTGCTTGGTTGGCAGTGAAATGAGCAAATTTTACATAGGGAGAGAGTTCTTGGAGTATCTGAAACACACACAAAGCATTTGTCTGTGTTGAAACAGAACTACACTGAAATTCAGAGGCATTTGCATTTGTACTTTTATAACACAGACCCTTAGCAAAGAAAAGAGCCAACCTGTTCAATATACTATCACCATTTTCTAAAGATGAGGAATTGTTAAGTTTCTCAATTATTTCTGAAGCAAGAACCCAGTTCTGTGCTTCAACAGCTTCAGCTCCTGTCAGCAAGAGATCAGCTAAACTGGTGTCTTCCATTAGCTCTTCTTGAATTCCCTTTAAATAAGAGCCCTCTTCTTCACTTGAAACATGCACATTTTCCCTGGCTTTTGGGGTAACTCCATGGCATAATTGATTCCCTAGACCCATTGTTTTGTCATGATTCATGAAACCAAAGTCTTGGTTTTTTGTATGTTGCTGCAACAATCCTTCCATTGACTCTTCATAAAAAATTTCATCCAGGATGGTGCTTGGTGATGAGAGATCTTCTGTCTGAAATGAAAATGCATTTTCTAAGTTACACTCATGAAGTTGATTCAGGTAGGGAGGGCTAAATGAGTAATCAAATTGTTCATAATCCATCATATTCATGGCAGACAGAGAAAAAAGGTTCAGACAGGTACACTTGACTAATTCGAGTAATCTTAGATATAAACAACGTAATTTCAAATTAATTGAACAACTAGATAGTTCTAAATTCTATAATTAAGAATGAAAACATGAATCGAAATTATACTGTGTATTAGAAGTTGATAAAACTACCTTCTAGAAGAAACTTAAATGATAGGAATTAAGTAGGATAAGTATTAGCCTACTAGGAAAGAGATCTCAACGTTCCAATATTTCTTGTAAAGAATGAAAATAATTATTCTCAAATAATGCCTTTGACAGCATTTACACTGTATGTGTGTGATGTGAGTGTATAACACCCAATGTTTGGTCAGCTTTAAGAATAATTCCAAATATTCTGATCCTATAAAACCTCTTTTAAAAAAGTTAATAATACACATTTTAATAAATATAATTTTTTAAACATATTTTACTTTTTTACTATTTAAAAATTCTAAAAAAGACTTAGAAGAAATGAGACTTAGGTTATATTTGATAAATGTAGCTTGAAGCTTATTAAATTGGTCAATAAATTTACAAAATCATTTGGTAAATACAAAATTAAATCAACATGTAATTTTTAAAAATTAAATTTTAAAAAATTATATAAAGTAGTGTTTAATTTTTAAAAATTAACTATCAATATTTCTATTATATTTTTGTCTTTTAATTTTTTTAAAAATAACTTATCTGTTATGCAATTAAAATCTTGCATGTATACGTTAGTTTTTTTCTTTTTTTTTACCTTCATAATAGTCTTATTACTTTATTTATTTATTTTTATTTATATGCTCTCTTGCCTCTTAAATTCAAATTATTTTATAATAAAAAAATAACTTAAAATATTTCATATTTAAATATATATGAACATAAATTATATTTTCTATATAATTAATTAATTAATCATAGAAAATAAATAATAATTAATTTTAGCATTATATGAATATAATATTATATATCATTTTAAGTAATTTAACACATTTCATTTAGTTGTATGACTAATTTGTTAAATTTTTTAATTTTATAAACTATTTATATTACGGTAGCTTTTTAACTACCAATTTTAATAAATTTTAGTCAATAATAAAAATATATTTAAAAGAATATTATTAATGTTTTAAAAGGCTTAATTGTGTTTTGTTAATTCAACTAATTTAGAATATGTGTAATGTTGATTCTCAATTTTTTTTCAAACCAATTAAGTCCCTTGAATTTTCTTTGTTACTCTAAATTTTTGTAATTCAAATAAATTAAATTATCTTTTTCTTCATATCATTAACTAATACATCAAATTTTACTTAAAAATCATCTCAAAATTTTTCTCTTCAACCCTCACCTCTTAAATAATGAGTAATCTCGATACACGATGATGGAAAAAAACCTCCACTTATTTAAATAAGTTTTAAGCAAATAAAAAATAAATAAGTTATACTAAAAAATTTTATATTAAGCATAAAATTATAAATCAACTCAAAATATTATATATATATATAATCAATTATTTAAAATTAAAAATAAAAAGTGTATTTCCACTCTCTCGCTCGCTCCATTTTAGAGATTAGAGAGAACTCTTTTTCAGGCGTTTCCCATCATCACCACTCCTTTCTCTCCCTTCATGCAAACACACAAATCTCCCTTTCTTTATTCTTATTTTCCTTCTTCCAATTAAACAAAACCTTACAACCCTAATCTAAACATATACTAATCAGAAAGAGCCATATGAGTAGTTATAGGATGTTATTTATTAGAATCTTTAAAATATTAATTATAAATAACACATTTTTTTACTACAAGCATGTTAAAAATTACGATAAAAAATTTAATAGTAACATTATTTAATAAAATTATTTTTACATTTTTTAATCAACACTTATAAGATAATAATTAATGTCTATGTTGATCACATAGAAACATGCAACTATTCATATCAGAAGTGTCTGGAAATAATATATGATGAATAATGGACAATGGATGATGCACTTTGGGCAGAGTCTGTCCAATAAAAATTATGCAAAACCAGATAATAATTTGAGCCGTATTCGAAAGGCAACAAAAGATGATGAATTTATCAATAGGGTTTAGAAGCATGCAACAACTCACTCTTTGGACTTTATGAAAAGTTTGAATGAAGTTGCAAAAACACAAATGAAGATTTTCAGAATATTCTCTGCACCCCAAATACATAACTAATAGTTTATTGCTGTGAAGTTGTCTCTTTCAGATTGTTTGCTGAGTGATGCTTATGCAATACCAAAAAGTGGTTGTAGTCCACCATACCCACAATCACTAAATGAATTCAAATCTAGCCTACCAGGTTTTTACACTCAAAATACCATTAAGCCTGTATAATAATAATAATAATAATAATAACATTGGCAGTTTTTCATATGATATTTAAAAATAATATATATCAAAAAATAATTTTTTTTAAAATTTATGGAACTATAAAAACTCAAGAATAGTTATTAACAAATTTTTAATAAAATCAAAAAGTTATCAATAAAATTTTCAAAAGATATATATAAACCTTTTGGTAACAGTGATAGGACAAAACCCTGAGGCCTAAGGCACTTGAATGGGAATCAGAGGCATGTGGGAATATTGTCTTTGTATCACAGAAGATGGCGATGGATCTTTAAATTATAATCGAATTGAGGTTTGTGATTACCCTATAAACATTAATTATTTGCTTCCAACCACATGCTTATTCATATTTCATGCATTCTTTCTTTTTTTTCTTTCACTTTTTTAACCAATTGTCCACCTTATTTTTTGGTTGCTTGGTAAAATAACTAGTCGAAAAATTAAAAGATAACCGAGCTTACAAATTAGTTTAGTTAAAAATCCTTAGCCAAAAGTTAATAATTTAACTTCTTAAATTAAAAGCACTTGATAAAATTAATTATTAAATTAATTGATAAATATAGATGATATAAAAGCACGTTTTTACATGTTTTTATTGATAAAATTTTGTTTTTAATTTTAAGATAAAAATGTATTTTTGAATAATTATGCTCTTAAGTGTTTTAATTAATTTTGAAATACTTTTTCAAGTCAAATGTTTTATTAAACTTTAAAATAATTAGTGTAAAAAATATAATATTTAAAATAAATAGCATGATCAAATGGTGATAAATGAAGAATTTTATTAAAATATTAAAGAATAATAATAATAATATAAATTTTTTTATAAATTTAGATATTACCTTAAGTGAATTTTTAAAAATATGATTTCCATTGTTTTTTTTTCTCTTTGACACTATAGCAATATTTTTATTGTTATTTAATAAAATTAATGAATACTTGATTTTTTTTTATAGTTTTATCTTTAATAATTAATGTGTATTTGATAGATGATGATAAATAAGTGAGATATTATTTAGTATTGTGGATTAAAAAGTATAATAGTAAATTAAATAATAAATTTTAAAATATTAATCTTTAAAATTCATGTACAAGACCTTAAATATGAAAAAAAGAGAGGAAATATTAGTTTGTAAAATAAGTTTATTTATCAGATACCTCTGTTTTAGTCATACAAACTTATATCCTAGCTAGGCAAACAAATTATAAATTAATCAAATTTAATGATTTTCCAAATTCATACAATACCAGTACACAATAATTTAAGCAATATTTGTTCATAGTATTATTTATCATTATCTTATATTTTTCTCTCTTCTTTTCGTATCTCTTTTTTATTCATATAAATTGTTGTATATATTTATTATATGAATATAATTTCTGATATTTTATTGTCATTAATATATATGACCAATAACATTAGCATTCTATCAGCTAGCTAATACAGATTTGATCCTTAGTTCCTCAAGTAAACGTCAATGTCTGTCTCAAGTTGACGTTAGTAATGTATGCAATTGCAAATAGTAACCACAAAAATAATTGAGTCCAATATACTCTAAAAGGGCGTACATTTTGTCCATTCCTGACTAGTCATTTTCGTCTTTATTGTCATTTTTTTTACGTATATAAAAACTTGAATTTAAAATTTTACTTAAGCGATACTGAATTATTTACTACTCTAATTAATCTTTGTTAGTTTTAATATTTAATCTTTACTCTCTTATTTTTTATCATCAAGCATTTTGTTTAAGCAACTACCTATCTAGTTTATGAAATCACTATTTGATATGAGGCATAAGATTTAATTAACTTTAAATATATTGAGGTTTAATATAGTTTTGTATATAAGTAGAAGTCGTTAGATAATATATGTAATTTTGTGTTGAAAAATATTAACAGAAGAATGTATTAAGGGTAACCAAAAGTCCTATTTATTCAGATTGTATAAATTTTATAGAAGTCCTTTTAAGAGAAAAAGAATAATAATGTAAAAATAATTAATTTTAACTCACACAAAATGTTTTATTTATTTTTTTAAGACTTTTTTTTAGGAAAAATCTCTAAAAATTTACTCAAACTATAAAGTATCCTCTACACTTTCAGATAAGCTTAATAATAAACTCTCCTCCAAGTCCGCAATAATTAATTAGTATTTACATACAATAATCAATTAGAAATTAGATTACTTAATAATTCTAATTTTAAATACAATTCCTAGAATACCACTCTCAGAAGAGATTAGATATGAACCATTAAGCTAGAAATATGTTTGTGTGATTCATGTATATTTTTCAGTATATGCATGGGAATGAGACATTTTGCAACTATATAACTTTAGTGGGACCATTTTATTATTATTATTATTATTTATTTGAGATGCTTTTTAGTATTGTACTTAATTAAATGGATTATGGTCAATGATACATCAATGATGCCACCATTTTATGGAATTAGATGGAAACAGGTCACTTCATTAATGTCCTCATTAGCCTGATAAGAACAAATTATCACAAAGACGTTTTGGTTGTTGACTGCACTATTGGTCCCCAACCCTCAACCAGTGATCTTTCTTAACATAGAAAAATTATAAATTACAATTAGCCAAAGAATGAGTTTCGTATGTACTTTCAAAACATTTAATTAATTTAGCTTTGTAGGTAAGTGTCATCATGCACCTTCCTTACATTTGGGCATCATAAATTCTTCATTTTTAATTGCAGAAAGCTTAATTAAATTTTGGGTGAAACATTGAAAATAAAATAACATTCAGTCATAGTTTCTCCATTTCCTGGCCTATCAAATTGGCTCTTAGTTGTTGCTACTGGAGTTTTTTTTTTTATCTTCGTTTGTAATTTTTTTTATTTTCCTTAATTTATAAAAAAATGTAAGATTTTAAAATTAAATTAAGATTATAACAATGTTAAATTCCATTTCATCTAAACAAATCTTTAGTTTAACATAGTATGTCGAAATTTAAATTATAATTAAATTAAAATTAAAATTTAAGAAGTATAATTTAACAGAAATAAAAATTAACCAAAAAATGCTAAGATAAAAGAAAGCATGTAGCTTGATACAAATAAAAAATATTATTCTTAGCATGTGTTTGAAAGCACTCAATAAGAAATTAACAAATAACAAGCTTTTATTAAAAACTGTCATTTTAATATAATCAGTATATATTGAAACTTGCAAAGTTTCATAATTCTTAATAAAAATTACTACACATAAATTTTTATAGTATCTTTTTTCATATACATTAAAGAAACTGGTAATATAGGATTAATGAATTAATTTAGTTAGAATGGTAGTGTTTATTTAGAAATTGTTTATTTAGAGCTTGCAGCTTTGAAATGCAGTGTGCGGTTTCACACACAACCAGATCATTAGTTTCAAATTATGAAACCTAAACCCGTATCCTTATGAATCCATTTTTCTTATTCACAGTGAAATTGTTAATATTACTTAAACTAATTTTAAACATTTAAAAATAATACTTTTTTATTAAAAATAATAATTATACTTTTAATTCAATAAACATCTTTTAAGTTTTAATAAAGATGTAATGCTTTTAAATGTTTAAAACTAATTTTAATAATTGATATTAACAAAATTATTCATTATTAAATTAGTTTCACTAAATAATACCCCTAATTGTTATTCTTAATCACATCTATGTTGGTATGCGGTTTGACGTGATAACGCTAAGGTGGTACCTTTATTTTAATGTATAATAATCAAATTTATACTATAGACTAGATTAAAGATAAGAAACTATTACAGGAGCCAAATATAAAATTTACTTCAGGAATATTTTAAAGGATAAAACGTAAATAAGCATTGTTCTTTAGTCAAAATAAGTTATTCATTTATTTAATAATTACTTTCATCTTAACTATTAAAATTGGTAATAATTATTGAGATAAAATTTTCATTTGATTAAAAAAAGTAACACCCATAATACTTATAGTGCTATGTTTAATTTTATGTTATTTTGTTTTAGTCAAATTTCTTTACTCTCTATTTAATTTTATATTTTATTAGCATTATTTTCTTTCATGCACATAATTTTTCATAAGATAATAAATTCAAAAATTAAGCCATTTTTCAAAATATATTTAAATTTATTATTAAATACGTAAATTTCTTGCTAGAAAATTATTTAAACTTAAATTATGGTCTCAAATTTGAAATTTAATAAATATAATTGTATTAAATGCTTAGAAGGAAAATTTTATTATTTATATTAATTCTACTCAGATCGAATAAAATTGTTTTTTTTTCAGAAGATTCATATAATTTTTTAAAAAAAAATTAAATGTATATATGTAAAAAATATATATATAATAAATTATTGCATAAGAAAGAGAGAGTTATGTGGTTCAAATCCTCAACCTCATTCATATTCTTTCCAAATTTTTATCATTTTTGTAACCAAAATAATTATTTTTTCGGGAAAGATCACGATCATACAACATGAATCAAGTGAGACTAAAGTGAAATCATTTTTTGGTACATGAGAAGAAAAAAGAAAAAGAAGAAGAAAAAGAAAAAAACTGATTAAAATCCTTGAGAGAATGACATTCCCAGCTTATTGGGTAGAAGAAAAACAAGGGCAAACGGAAAAGAGTTTTCAGTCCAGCCAAACAAAACTCACTTTTAGCTGAAGTCACTTCAATCATAATGACTTCATGATAAGAACTACCAAATTAATGGGTAACCATTATTAAGAGTTTCTTTACATTAATAAATAAAATATAATATATCATTTTTTTTATAAATGGAATACAAGTTCTACTCTACCCAGCTGATAGAACATTAATTTACATCCTTTCAATTATTTTGTTGTGGTGCTTCACCACTTGTTGGCAAGTATATATCCAATCTACGTGTCATGAAAGGGAAAGAAATTAAGAAGAATATTCTGTTAAAAGTGTTGTATTTGAGTGTAATACTAATGAGATTAAGTCATCATACATACACCTTGTTTTTACAAAAAAGAATAAATTAATTAGCTATTAATCTAATAAATAAGACTTATAAGTCTGTTGTTAAATAAAATTAAGAAGTGATATGCTAACGAGGGCTTCTTAATTAATGGGATTATCATTATTAAATTGCAAGGATTGCAAATGTCCAAAGTAATTAGTTTCACACTCGAGATGTAGGAATACTTAGTGAATGGCACCACCCACCTGTCCCCGAGAAAAAGACGAATTAGTTTTGTTGAAACAATAAAATTTAATAATGAAAAAACCCACAATTTAATAAATAATTTATCCTCCATTTGGATGAAAAATAACATACAAAAGAAAGAAATTAAAAAAATAGAATAAAAGAGATATATTATTTAAATTTATAAAAATAAGAAAGAAATAAGCAAAACAATCTCTCTACCAATATGAAAGATAAAAAATAATAAAAATAAATAAATAAATAAATAATATAAAATAATTAATTTAACTTCAAAATTCTAAACTTTTTTATTATATAATTTTTTTATTAATATAAAATTATGATAGCCTTTTCATTTCTGTAAGGGTGTTTTCTTTCCTATGGGTTCCAACCTCTAAATTTTCTTGCTTATCTATCTAAGCAATATAAAAACTTGTATTTTCCTCTTCATGAGCAACTTTGTGCGAACTATTTGCCTCACATGAAAATAATGTTGATACATCACGTCCAAAATTAATTTGAATGTAATCACTAGACATGGGCGTCATTATGATCTTTCACTATGTACATAACATAATTAAAAATTCTATATATCGAGAGAAGGGCTAATGAATCTACAACTTGTAAATGAAGCTTCTGCCATGCTATATACAGTGAGTAAGGATTGGCAGTTTTATTATACACAATAATATATGGCTGTATCATGCCAGCCAGCTTAGGCCTGATCATAGATCAAAATCTAAAGTCAAGTAGACTTAATCATCATATTTACACGTAATTTCAAAACTAAGAACATATTCTTCTGGTTATCAAGGGAAAAAAAGTTCAAAGCTGTACATATGTTTTAAGGATTTAAAACATCAGCATGAATGCCATTTGGCAGAAGCATAAGTGTAGTATAATATATGTACTATATCTGTGGCTTACCACCTCGCATAAGCAACAAGTTCTTCATCTCTCTGTAACCTTGGAACTCTTCCAATGCATCAGCTGTTGTTTTCCTAGTGGCTATGATCCCAGAAGACATTAAGCTCACTGGCCTTGATGCCTCTAGGACATGATTTGGTTCTTGATTGTTATTGTTCCAGGTTTCGGGACCTGTTCCTTGTGACAGGTGTTCTGAAGTGGAGAAATCTTGACGGAGAGGTGGTGCTTTCTTCAGCATATGTACAAGTGCACCAACAGCAGCATCATGAGACTTCCTAATAGGAAAGAATCCTCCAGCTTCAAGTGTCTCAGCAATATGACCATGATCTAAAGATTCCGCTCTGGAAGCACAAAAAGCATATTAAACTTCCAAAATTAAAAACACAATCTAGCATATTTTATGTCATCTATAACTTAAGGGGAGAAAAAGTAGCAAAAGTAACAAGATTATGTATTTTATTTGGTCTCTGACTGAACATGGAAAAATTATTATATGTGAATTTGTGATTAGCACAAATAGTTTTTCACTGAGTGTCATACCTGAATGGACACCCTTATCTAGATGGATACCAACTATTCAAAATCAAAATTAATATGAAAATGTCTACCATTGTTCTGTGATTTGCCAGTTGAATTATTTTTTTTTTCTTTTATTCAATCAAAACTCAATTAAATATATTAGCACAAAAGGAAACAGTTGACAGATTTATTGGAGTGGCTAAATTTCATCAAATCAAAATATTCAACCAAAAATGCAACAGTGTCCTTCAGCCAGTAAATTGATTTTATATTCAATAATATAGTATATACCAGATCTACAAACTAATTCCTAGCATAAATAATAATGAAACCACTACACTATAGTCAGCAATCAAATTACTTCATCTATCCTGATGCAAATATACCACTTAATGTCTTTGCATTCAGTCATCTCTCAAATCACATTTAAACTACTTTTATCCGCCAATCTTTTCTCATAACAAAGAGCAAAAAAGTTCCAAATTATTGGATCTCCTAAATGTGTGCTAATCAACTGGTAGTAGCTATCCTGAACCATGATGAAAGTGCTCCTTCTAAATGAAGTCACAATCTGTAAGTACCTCAGAAAAACAGCCAGTACTATCACTAATAGAAAATCATGTATCACCAATATTAACTTTTTTTCCACCAAACTTATATAACAATCAGTTGACCTCATCTAGTGGGGTAAGACTTGATTGTTATTGTTACCTTGTATAACAGTAATGATGATAAGGTGGACCTCTCCTAAAACTACTAAAGGTGACCAGGTAAGATTTCACCATTGATCAGCCAGGGTCCTTCCTCATGAGAGGTCTAACTTCAACTCTGCAATTAGTGGTATCAAGCTTGTGGTTCAATATCAATAGTAAAGACATATATAACATCCTACTTCCAATGATGAGGATGATCCTCAAGTTCATGATCTCCAATCCTGTGCAGAATGCCCCCATCTTTAAGGGTTGTCTCTTTGCCTCTTAATTTGTCATGGTCTATATTTTGTCTGCGACCTCTTTTTGGTATTCCCCTTGGGTCTGTTTCAAAGGAATTTCCATTTCAAATATGCAAAGAGATTGGGCAGCATAGCAGCACTCTTCAATTTTTTTATTTTTTTCATATTCTATGATGTATTTTCTTTTTCTTTCTTGGAGGATATCTTATCCTCCCATTTTTCCTCTTTTCTCTTTGAATTTTGTTTCTTCTAGAAAAATAAAATAGCTTACCATATATTAATTGTAACAAAATCTAATCATGAATTAAGCACCCCCTCTCTCCAAATGACTACCTACCATCAACCTGGCAGGAACAGTTGAAATATCCTTGGGTTACAAGTCCATACATCCCCTCTCCCAAAAAGAAAATTTTTTAAGTAATTTTATACAATAGATTGATCTTGTATTTGAATCAACAGTATGGCAGCAATGAGGTGCACGAAGGAAACCTCACACCCCTCTCCATCAACAAAAAATTATGGATCCGTTTTTCCAACCAAATAACAGTAAGGAGGATACATATGATCCAGGTAATTCTGCTATTTTGTCTATTAAGCCCTCTCAAACATCTGACTGGGTTTTTAGATATAACTAGATGAACTAGATCAATTTTTTTTATCAGTCAGAGAATCAGTGAAAGGGAGACGTAAGAACATGATGGGCAGGCACAAGAGTGAATGCATTAACGTTGATTGTTTAAGCGCTATACTATAATACACCATTAAAGAAGAAAAAGGCAGAGCCGGAAAATTCATTAACTCAAAATATGCCACATCAATCACTTATTTTTCGAAAACATTAAATTAAATAGCAACTAAATACACTTCAAAGATGGTATAAAACAAAATAAGAAAATAATAGTGCATCCAAGTCATTTCAATATTATAGTCATTGGCGTACACATCATAAACATTTATACAATTTCAAGGAGCAATTTTACAGATTTGAAGAAGAATAAAAAACATGCAAAACTTTCACCAAAATATCAGTGAAGCCAAATATTTATGTGCATATCCAAAAGCAGATGTATATACCAATTAATGTCTAAACGTCAATCTCTAAAGCAGAAAAAGAGGAAGAGTGATAAAACAGTGTTCAGATATTACATATGAAAAACTATGCTGAAGAAAGAAACAATGAAATTAAAATAATAGAAATTATTCCCTACTTTTTGAACCAGTTAGTCAAAACGTGTTCCCATGATATAGTTAACATAATATGAAACACCCGGTCCACTAAAAACCCATAAGTCTATTTGCCCAGACTTTCCCAGACCAGAAGCATGACATTCCAGTGGGATGGCAGTGCTCCTATAACCAGTTCAACATGAATTAACTGCTTACCCTCTTTATGGATTTAGATCTATTTTTTAATAGCAAAATGTGGTCCTGCTAGAGAAAAAAAGACACAAACTTATCCAGCAATGCGAGGACCAACTACGATTGGTTGTATGGTCTGCTAGTCATATTCAAAAAGATTGTTTCTCTCTCTCCAACAAGACATTATTCGTTATTACCATGTCTAAGTTATATGCTAATAATTATGTACATGATTAGCCGATAAGCAAGCATAAATGCCATTGAATTTCAGTCACACGGTACCTGCTTCCAGGATCTGTCATATCATCATCATCCACATCAAATGGACAAGTAAAATCAGTATCATCAAAATCATCCTGATAAGACCTACTGGAGCTTCTGGAAATTGAAATCTGTGGTGAGCTGTTAGCTGATATCTTGACTCCAGAATGTCTTCGAAACTCATCTTTTCCAAGAGAAAACTGCACAAAGCAGAAGTTAACAAATCAAATATTTTGAACTATCGAAAAAGTTCAGTGGTAAGCACAAGACATACCTTCTCAACCGTTGCACCTGTTTGCATTGTGTTTGTAGTTCTATCAATCTTAAAAGTACACCTTGAACCTCTTAGAGGAGGAGAGGGAGGCAAATTATGCCTACTTGAGTATCCAGGGGAATTAGCAACTTCAGCAGTAGGTATGCTAACAGGGGCACTTTCAGATCGTAAAAGTGTTTTACATGGTAACGACCCAGAATTATTGGTTGAAGGTGATGGAGAGGGATAATACTCATCAAAACCTGTATTCTTCTTCTGAATCAAAGATATCTCAGTTGGATGAGGAGGCAAAATTGCAGGTGGAAAACGCCTAGAACTTGCATAAGACACCGATGAGAGTGATTCTGAATAAGTAGGAGATGGTAAACAAGAAGGAGGCGATGCTCTACAATAGTCAAAACTCCAACTGCGTTGCCTTGAAGACGGCAACGATGATGGAGAGCCATGCAATGGGAATCCTGCCACAGGAAGAGAAGGAAACCTCCTCAGTGGATCAGCCAAAGGACTCCCAACATAGTCAGTTATAACTTGTGGAGACATAGGAGTTGATGGTTCAGAGCTCACATCTGAGGCTGATGGGCAATACATCACTGTAAGACACAACCTACCAGAAGAAGTATCGACAGGGGTGAAGCCAAATTTCATCATTTCAGCATCTTCTTTTCGGGTGAAGGGCTCAACAAAAGAAGACACACGATGAGCAAGTGTAAAGGACCTAATCTGTCCAGATGAATTAAGGTCTCTGAAGATTTTATAAGCAGGTAAAAGCCTAACAGTGGCATACAAAGACCTCAAAAGTAAAGTTAATTTCTTATACAAGTTATGCAAAGCAACACTACTTGACCTCCTATTGCCAGAATTAGAATCCCTTGTTTTCTTGCTCTCATACTGCACCACCCACCTCTCCACAATCTTTTCACTCCTTGCCACAACCCCCAACTCTTCCTGATCATTGTTCCACCCAAAAGGGTATCTCGATTTAAGTGAATAACTCCTAGGAATAACCCTTTTGGGAGAAAAATTAACAGCCACAGGGTCCCATTCCAGTGGCCTCTGCACCAAAATCACATCAATCACCATGTACTCACGATTGCTCTGGCGCCATAGATCAATGTTCTCCAACGCCACGTGACACTCCCGCAGCGCCAAATTGAACCGCTTATCCCTCGGTCTCACACTCGACGAACCTGAAGACGATGAACATGGAGATGAAACAGCTTGATCGCCGTAGGAATTACGCGAAGACACATGAAGTGCCCTCGATTCAAGTATTATGTGAAGGCTCTTCGCGAAAAACTCGGTGATTATTTGTTCCATCTTCGCTGCCTCCAAGTGTGCATTACCATGAGATGATGCCATGGTTTCTAGGTGACAATTGTCAAACACAACCCTCAACAACAAAACCACAAAATAACACCAGCATCACACACAAGAACTTCAATATTCAAATGCACCCCCAACATCGACTCTGTTACTAGGTGGTTGAAAAAAAAAAAAAAAACACGACAACAACAAAATCAGTTCGATTCTTCCCTATAAAAAACTGCCAGCTATTAAAAAAATGAAAAAACAGAGTTGAGGATTGTTTTGGTTTGTCGTAGAATCAAAAAGAGAGATTGGAGACACAGAGAAGAGAGATAATGTTTACCTTCTTTGGCTTTGGAGGGAGAGTGAAAGAAGAGTGGTTCGTTAGTTGAAAGGGTTGATGATGGGGCCTTATCTCTGATTCTGTGAGTTTACATGAAAAGAGAAGAGTGAAGAGAGAAGCAAAGGAAAAGAGTGGAAGAGTGGGACCCGTTGACAGAGGCCGTTGTTGCCTTAAACGCTCTATTGACTTTGATTATCAGTTCCAATGATCTCTCACAATTTTTGTACCCTCCTTTCACTTCAATTCTCTCTCTTTTCGCTTTTTCACTTTTTCTGTTTCGAGTTTGACTCTGTTACATGTTAAATACTAAACCGCATCTGTTTATCCTCTAAAGTTAAATAAAAAATGAGGATCTATTTACTCTAATCTTAATGTCAATTTAAACTAACTCGAGTTTATTATACCAATTTAAACTAAATAAATAATCCTGCTTTTACATTTTTAGCCAAATTTCTCTGTAATATACAAATATTATAAAATTTCAAAATTAATTATGTATAATTTCAGTTTAAATTTTTGGTTTTCAAATAAGAGAAAATAATTGATATATTATTATTATTATTTTCTGATGGTCGGAAAACCGTGTTAATTTATATGTTACAAGAATCATCATGATCTTGTAAGAGTGGGGCTGATAGACGGTACACGTAGATATTCCAATTTTCTTTAACAAAATAAATGGATTTATTTTTTAATCTGTCTGACAAAAATTTATATTGACATTAGTCCATTTTTTATACTTTATTGTATGTTAGCTTTATTTTTTATTTTACTAATGGTATCACCATACAAAGGAAAGGATCCATACGCACTCCTTCTTACTCTCTGTTAATTTTCTTTCTACTTTTAATTTTTAAAATATCAGGAAAAAACTAACCATACAAAAATAATAATAAATTTGCCATACTTTAGAAGGACTGGTTTTTTCCTTTAGAATAATTTGTGATACTGGTATATTATTAATTTCATGGTTACACTTTTTTAATTGTTAAATGTCTCTTTACTTCAAATTAAAAATAATAATAAATTAGGAAAAACTATAACGATACAGATACGAGTATTACTATTTAAAGGAGATGATTATGAACTCATTATTTTTTTTCCCATTATTGAGTAAATTTCCGATAGTATATATTTCTTTATGGTTACATTTCTATATTTGTTAAGTTTTTCTCTAATTTTAAATTAAAAAATTTGTCACATAAAAAAATACGCGTTACATAAGTGATACTAAATGAATAAGATTATTTTAAATATATTTTTAAATAAAATAAATTTTATAAATATTATCAAACTATTGATAGAGATTGATTTTCTTTCGTCATGTATTTGTTCACATTGTATATTTATTTTAAAATTTAATATAATTTAAATTTAACTTTTTTTATAATTTTTTTTATTTTAAATAATTTATTTATTATTAATAATTATTATTTATTTTGAAATTTTATGAAATTTAAAAATATTTTTAATTAATTATTTAAAATTTAATTTAATTTAATATTACATATGCAACTTTTAGTTACTATCTAAAGAAAAATAACATGGACTCTAAGAGAACTTTTTATTTTTTTATTTTGTTTGTACTCTTACAGTATATGCATCTTTCTAGTTACATTTCCTTGTTTATTAACTTTTTCTTTTATTTTAATGTTAAATTGTAAAAAGAAACTAATGCAGGAATCGGTATAAAATAAATATATCATAATTTTAAATAATTGATTATTGAAACTTGTTACTCTATATTAAAAAAAATAAATATATCATCGATTTTTTTAATTACTAAACAAAAATTATAAGTGATCACATAAAAAAAGTGAAACACAATTTGATAACATTTAAGATTTAGTTCAAATAATAAATAGCGGCTTGAAAAATTCAATAGTATTATAATATATATTGATTACTCGGATCCAATTTTATCCATAGCAACTGATATATTATTATAATGTAAACAATTAATTATTATTTAATTATATATTTATGAATGCTAAAATTATGTAAATTATATAACATCATCATCACAAAAATATATAATTTAATAGTTAAATTGGTAAAGTGAATTTTTATATAAAAAAGATTTTCATTCTGTGATCCATCTTTATAAAAAATAATAATTACTCATTTAAAAATTTTAAAAGTAAAAAATGATAATTACATGTTACATCTCACCTAAATAATTCGAAGATATAGACCTACAGCTATTTTTAATATCTTTTTTTTATCACGCTTGACTTTGTATACATGTAATGCATAGATATGTATTTTTCTTATTCCTATGTCTATAATTGTTTAGAATTTATCATTATTAAGATTAATTGCCTTGATATTATTTTAATCATAGTGCAATGGGACAACATAAAAAAAATGAAAAAAAAATGTTTCTTATGACTTATGGGGAAGAGAAAAAGAAAAAAGCACGCAATATAAAGAGTTGGGCCATTACTCACAAGTTAGGATCTGAACCCAAATTTAAACGAAGGCTTGACAATAGTTTGTGGGTTTTAAACCCAGAAAGTTTCTGACGAAACAAACGGAAAGTGGACTATGAAATACTATAACCGTTTTCGGCCCAATATTTGGGCCCATTGGTTAAGTAAGAAAACGGTTTATAAAATTTTACAAACATATTTTGCCAAAACATAAAATAAAACTGCAAACTGTATAATCAATTATCTTAGATCTTATGGTAGTTCTAATATAATTTCATTAGTATTAAAGTTGTTTATTAATAAAATTTAAAGTCTTATATCGACAATTTACAATAATATTAAATATAAATCTTTCATTAAAATAAAATTTTAACTAATAAATGACACTAATAACAAATAAATTTTATCCTTCTTCATGATTGTTAAGTGTATGCAATAACAATTAAATTTGACACAAACGGTATGATCAATTCACTTAAATATTTGCAAGATATATTGAAAGATATAATAAATCTCGATATATTACTATCTAGTGAACTAGTCACCCACTCTAGCAGAGATGAAAAGTGCATTTAAGTTGAATATTCACAATTTAAATTTTTTGAATTATATTATTTATCTTATATTTGTTTTTCTCTGTTTTGCTTGTCTTTCTAATAATCGTAAAAAAAGAATTGTTAAGTTTTATCGTATGAATATGATTTGTCGAATTTGACAGCATGATGCTTAGAAACAAGAAAGATCTTGCAAGACAACATTTAAGAGATGCAAGAAATATCATGTATCAGGTTTTACGTCATACCCTCTTTTGAAAGAACAGTAGAAAAATTCGCTTGTTGAGGTTTAGCACTCACAACAGTTCTTGTGTCCCCCACTTTTACTATTTCCATTCCATAGGCTTCATGAAATCAACTCACCAAATTTTCATATTCATAGGATCTTTCTCCAAAAGAGTATCAATCACAAAATAATATTTTAAAATTATATGTATAAATTTAATCTATTTGAAGGCTTACGAACACTAAGTCCCTAAAACCATATTGATAGGTTTAAATTTAGGAAATAGATTAAATATTATAAAATATAACTTATTACACAAACACATAACCTAGCTTTTATAAAAGCTACGTTATATTAGACTTTATAAAACTTAACCTTGTAAGCTAGCACTAAATGTATTCTAAAATTTTAAGTATATATTATCACATCATCTATATCGATTTTTGGTTTAATGATAGATTTTAAAGTAAAACTATCTTTAAAAAAATTATTGAACAGTGTAAGATAAAAGTAATCATACCAGTATAATTAGTTGAACATTCTTTGCATGCGTGTGTGGACACTTAAAAAAGTATATATTTTGGATTGGGATTCTTGTTCACTGATTATACTCACAGAGAAGGCAATCAACGCCATGCCAATTGGCTTGCCATTGGAATCTGTCTAACGATATTACAAGTCCTTTTTGGTAAAAATATATCACACTACTTGCATTGAAAAAATAATATTGATGTCCACTGTACCCCAATTATATGGTAGCTCGATCGATGATTATGTATAGCTCATGTCATCTATTAAGTTTCGACAACACATTGAAAAAGTATATATAAATTGTCTGTCTTTTAAGATAAGAATGCAAAATGATAGGTTTGCTACAGCGAATGAAGTATCAACATGGCTTTACGGACTTCAAGTTCACTTAATGCGTAGGAAATGAGAATAAACAAGTGAAAATTTTCATCCATTTAGGTCTTAACCTACGTATGGTAAAGTAAAACCATATATTTAAGTTGGGGAACCTAATAAAGGGGCGAACACCAAACCAAAGAAACAAAAAGGAGAAAAGAAACCAAGCAAAGCCAAAAAGCGAAATATTCAATACTAAAAAGAATTCTAGAAAGATCAAACATAAGATCTTAGGACGAGATAATTTAATCCTGTTTGCACAAACCACAGGCATGAATATTATATATGGTTTTAACTGTCCTGTTAACATCACACACATATACTTTGCAATTGTAAAGTTATTATAGGCCTAAACACGAATGCACATAGCAAAATAATTTTTTAACTTAAAAAAGAGATCGATAATATAAAGCAAATGTAAGTAATAAATGCAACTAATTATATAGGAGATTCACTTACACTTTCTTTTTATTAATTTAATACTTATCTAATCACTCAAATTATTAAATATTTAAATATGAAAGTTGATAAAATTCGTTCATAAAAAATATAATACTGTTTACGTATTCCGGTTGTAATCTGACGGCTAGTCTCAGTAATGCCGTGTCAAGCACCACTTAAGTCTGAGAAAGATAAAGACGAATAGTAAGATGGGTAATGGTCCAGGAAATTTATGATATATGATTACGCAGTAGATGTAATTGAAAATCGATAATTGATTATCAATGCTTACACAAAGCAGCCTTCACTAATTGTTAAACATATCAACCACTTAGGTAATATTTGATCTAACTTTTTGAGGTCTTTCTTTTTTAAAGGTACAACTTATCTGATTATTATTTTTATGTAAAATTAATCTTTACTTTTAGGCTTTTGTTCATTAAGAAAAGCTACTCTAATTTTGTTTTTAATATTTACTTTTTCTAAAATTGTGTTCGGCTTGATTTCGATCCCTTCCTAAAGAGAAGGGAAGTCCATAAAAAAAAAAAAAAAAACTTAGTTAGGCATCAAATTCTCATAAATAATATTCTACATATATAATTTTTTAAGGCACTAATTGTATCTTTAGTTATCTTAAGTATCTAGCTCGATATGTTAAATAAAAATACAGTTTTTTATAATAAAAAAATTTCTCTAATAAATTAAAATTAGCTTATACATCTTAAATTAAAAAAAACAACTGAGAAAACTTCTAAAAGAAAGAAAAATATAAGTTAATATTATCTTAGAGGGAAATTTTGTTTTATTTTATTTCTTTAACTTTTTATAAAGATTTATTTAAATTAAGTATAAATCCCTTTATTTACTCTCCTTTAAAAAATAAGATTTATCTTGTCTTTTTAAAATTTAATTATTTTGAATAAATTGTGTAAATAATTTCCATAATTTTCAATATCTTTTTAGCTTATATTTTAAAAATATTATCCTAATTCATTACACACATTTTCCTTATAATTAATTTGAAATGTTTACGATACCGGTTTCAGCAAACTCACAAGGCACAAATCTACAAGTGAATCATTGATGAAGACATAGCATGTGCATGTTCATCTAATTGTTCATTATTATTGGACAACATGAACACAAAATAATTTAATATCTCCTTAATATGTTTTGCATAGTTGTAGTTATTTATGCCGCACAAAAGACCACTGTCTCTGTCGGTCTTTCTCTTATCTATTCTTCGATGTGGGCCCTCAGAAACAATAACAGTAGTGAGATCCAACCCATCAAGATACGGATCCAAGTAGTGGTACTTGTAGTACTGCCAGAGGGAAAAGCAAAAGGATGCCCCTTTTCTTTCGTATTAGCTTTTTCAAAATTTTAAAAATTAATAATTTCACAAACTTATTTTCGAAAGATAAAAAAGAAAGTGTTGTCAAAAAATTACGATATAAAAAATAACAATTAAAGCATCACCTTTAGCGACGGCCAAGCCCAATACCTTACTCATCCATGGTTAATTACTGTATAGGAATATAATAAATACAATCATACAAAGCTAAGCTAATAAACAAGTATAAAAGAAGCTCTCTCCACTTGTCTCCTCGTAAATTACCTCATTAAATTTATAATATCCGACCCTAATATAAAGCACTTTCCGTGTAAAAAGTACAGCTGTAGACAATTTGAATCCGATTGGAAATCAAATTTGGCTTAAACATTTTGCAAATTGGATCATTTGTGATATCATTAACGACGATGCTTTAATTAGGAGCCACAATTCATTAAATCCAAGAGATTGCGATCTATCTACTTGCATGGTGTGAAGATTGTATAACAAATTTATATATAGCAGCTAGGATTTGGGACCATTTTTGGATTCAAACATATATTTTGATATGACAGCCAAACAATAACATATTACAAACATAGTATCATGTACAAGGAATGGCGCATCTTATGGTGGACATATATAGAACTTCTTTTGGAATTTTAATACCCAACAAAAATAAACTTCCTAGCGAGTTGCTGGTTCAAAATTACAGAACTGTTGTCTTAATTCTAAATATAGTATGTTTGGGACACTGAAAGTACACGTTCGTTTTGATGCCACATGAGATAATTTCTGTATTAACGTGAGAATTTAACGTGCAATCAAACACACTCAGTTAATGATAAATATAATTGCTTGAATATCTTATAATGTCTGTATTATTTACCAAAACAATACACATGACTAACTATTTCACCTTTCAAACAAAAATACTCGTCATTGTAAAACAGAAGTTGATTAAACTGTATATCATTTATTTTTTTGGTAAAAAGCAAGTTAAGTTACTTCGGCTACTGCTAGTTTTACAGGTAGAATTAAATGTAACAATTTCTTTTGAGGTCTAAACGTAACAATTTTAAATCACAGAGAAAATATTGAACAGATAAATACTAGATATTTTATATGAAACCGTGTCACATTCAACGACAGGCATAAGCAATTAAGAGGCCATCGTTATGATTCAAAATGTTGGGGGAAAGTGGCATTATTCTGTAATAAAATGTAAATGCCGCTTGTAACATCAACATCTGTCGTATAAAGGGGTGTGAAAAAACAATATAACATCAATTTTCGGAACTCGTTTAAATTCTATACCAAATAGAATTCCTTTTTGAAGGAAAAAGTTTATAATAATTCAATTACAATTTTATTATATATAGTTTAAGCCTTTGAGATATTTTATTACTTGGACCATTAATTTGTTGAGTCTACTATAGGATTGAGGATTGGTACCATAACCCCATCTGAAACACATCAAAATTATTCCCACCATTTTGATTATAGTTGATAAGGTCTCATACTATTATCTCAAATAATATCATGTATGTCAAAATCAAATAATTTCTTTTTTCAATTAAGTTTTAAACCTTTGGTTTTTTGTTTAACAGTGAGTGTTGAACCTCAGCTTGTCGCATTGGAAGCATGTTGGGTTGGGTCTACCAAAAGGAAGTTGTGCATTGAAAATAAAAGAGTTATAAACTTTTTTACACAAATTTCTACAATAAATATTTTTTTTATGTCTGTCTATTACATCACTCATCTATATACCTGTTCTCTCTCTTTTCTTTTTATCTGTCACTAATTTATATATATATAAAACAACATTTATTGCAAAAATAACATTTCTAATACAGAAACCATTTCTTGAACTCTTTCATGTGGACCAGTACGGACAAGGCCACCTTTGCTCAACTTTTGATCATAGGGTCCCAAAATATGGGACACTGAATCAACCTGAAACTATATTATTCCAACTCATATCCTTCAAGAAGCTTCATAATTCCTTCATGGGCTTGTGGGGGGTTTTTATTTAGTAGTAACAGCAATCCGATATATAAGATTTGTGAAATCCAGCTGCCACGGTGCCACCAGGCACACCCTGCTTCGTGTAAAGTGGAACAGAAATGGACCCATCTTAGAAAGCTAAATATAATATACAAGAAAGGCTTGGTCAGTGGATGTTCCATATGCTTCTAAATCTATCTCTAACAAGCAAGATAAAAAGTTAAAATCCCCACCCTAGCCAAAACTCGATAGGAATATTCTAACAACCCACCAGTCGCAAAATAATTATAGTTTCATAGTCCAATCAAAGATATCTAGATTTCATAAATCCTATCATATCATACATCCTTCCATGTTATAAACTTCCCCTATATAATCCCCTAAGGTCTAAGGTAACCAACCCTCAAGCTCTAACTAACATATCATCAAGATCCCCAACAAACATGTATGCTTCTACTTCCTTTACTTCACAACTGTTCCATGACCTTCTGGAGGACTCTCACTCAAGAAAGCTACTCCTTCAAGATCCACTTCACCATTCACTTAACTCAGCCATTTCTCCAGCTTCCATAAACAACTACAATTCAACAGACTCATATTTCAGAGGACATAACTTCGATGCAAATGTTGTCATGATACTCTCAGTCCTACTGTGTGCTGTTGTTTGCTCGCTAGGGTTGAACTCCATCATGAGGTGTGTCTTAAGGTGTTCAAGCATAGTCATCCTTGACCCTCCAAGTGCAAGCAACAATAATAACCCTTCACCCCGACTGGCCAACAAAGGAATCAAGAAGAAAGCCCTTAAGACTTTCCCTACTGTGAGCTACTCAACAGAGTTAAAACTTCCAGGTTTGGACACAGAGTGTGTGATATGCCTCTCAGAGTTCACACATGGTGATAAGGTTCGCATTTTACCAAAGTGCAACCATGGTTTCCATGTTCGTTGCATTGACAAATGGCTAAGTTCACACTCTTCATGCCCCAAGTGCAGACAGTGCCTCATTGAGACTTGTAGAAAAATTGTTGGATCACAACAACCACCTGTGCCACAAACTATTATAAGGATCGAACCGCTAGAACATGAAGGTTTTGAGCGTAACTATAGGGAAGTATGCTAGCTAAATTATTTTACTACACTCTTCTTTCATAATGGTCCTTTGCCTCGAGTTAGTAAGTTAACTCTGAAATATGGCTACATAGCTAGCCAAACCAATCAACCATAATCAATGAGGTGGTTGTTGGTGAATCAATGTTTGTTTAGAGTTGGAATTTTCAGTTGTTTTGTTTTGACCTCAGATGTAAAATAAACTAGTTAAAATTATTTGTAACTGCATTCTTTTCAATAACTAATATTTTGAAGTTATTAATTGAACTGGGATTTTATCGTGTCTTTGTTAAATTTAATTTACACAGGTCACTAGATCAAGTGGGATATATATAATGCAAGTGAATGATTGTTAGTAATTTAACAAGAAGATAAGGTAATGCGATGTAGTACGTATATCTGCGCCACCTTATGCATATCATTGTTATTTCTGACTTTATCAATATTTTTAACATCATAACTGAGGTGACTGAAGCAAATAAGCCACTTTTTATTTGTCCACAGTTCGCCCCCAAGAGTTACTAAATTAGTTGCTTTTGGTTACTAATTATTACCAAGTTATTACACGCGTTACAGAAGAAAGAAATGTAAAGGAGCTAATACAAACACACACACACACACACTCCATCCAAGTAAGTTAATTCATATGAAATAGCCAATGAATATTGTAATAATATTTGCAGATTGAAAAACTTACATTACTCCTAAACCGCTTCACTTTTAGATAATGAAAAACTAAAGTACACATTTCATCGCATGTACCCCTCTCTAATTTTAAACAACAAAAGTGTAGAAAGTATATAAATAATTTTAAATAACGTTTGTGTTTAAAACTAATGTACTCTAAGCTTTCAAGAGAGTAACCCAAGCTAATTACTACTGTTTTACTATCTTTTCGATGTAAGCTACTGTTTTATGTATCTTGCGTACAGTAAGAGATAAAATACGTTTTTTTAGTTTTTTTTCCCCAGTATTTCGAGTGTCATTATTTTATCGAAGGGTTTTGAAGTTTATATAGAACCATGCCATGTTTGAACATCTAGAAAAATAATGAAGCAATAACCATTATTGTGTGTTAATCATTTAGGTTAATTCTCTATTGGTCTCCTCAGTATACCAATGCGTCGTCTTGCCTAATAAGATTAGAGGTATCGTCTCCTTCTCATCGTATTTTATATTATATATATAAATATTACAAGAAAATTATGACTGGTGGCATTGCTGCTCACATCTATGGTTATAAAATTAGTGAGATACTTGAATCATGGTTCGACAATCCATTTAACTGCAAATCCTAAATTAATTGAATTAAAGTGATCGAATTGAACAAAATAGTAAAGAGTAATCGAATAATGAACATAAAATCACTTCGATTCAGATTTTAAATAATTTGCTTTGCAACAAATGCCCCCACGTGAATAATTATATCCTTATGAACGGCCCCTAGATTGATACAGTAACTAGACTCAAATAATTAAAAAGTAACATGAAAATTACAAAGTGGCGCGTACTTTATCCAGTCAATGGAGCATATAATAAATGGAAGCTGAGGCAGAAATCACTAATCAACTTCCAATCAAATAAATGTACTAAAAGGGAAATGTTGTAACATAGAACTCGCACAAAATGTCTCATTTCCAACAGTGACTAACAACATTATCTTGGCTGACTGAAGAATTTGATTTGCCAAAGATCAATATATAATTATGACTCTAAAGAATTTATTATAATAAATTCATTTTAATTTAATTCAAGATATTTACTATTCAATATATAATATAAAGTCTTTGTATAATAAAAAAATATATTATATAAATACTTAATGAAGCTGTTTTCACAAGTGTAGTCTGGATGCAACATAATTTATGGTGTATGGCTAGGCAAAGCTAAGTGAGGTTATTATCATTGGTTGTTAGGAACTGAAAGAACGAATCAGAGGGAAAGAAAACCAGAAAACTGGGAAAGATATTAAAGATACACTATAAACTATAAATTCACGCATAATAGAAGAGAGAGAGATGGGGAAAAGCAAGTCAGATTGAATTCGCCAATAATTCACACTTGAAATATTTTTCCCCCTTCACATTATTAGATCACTAATATTCTGGAATTGAGTTATGGGTTAAAGGCTAGCTTAGCAGATTTAATTTTGAATAAATTATACTTAAATTAATATAGTTTCACTTTTTTTTTAATTTATGTCTCGTATATTTTATGTTATTAAAATTTTTTGTATATATTTTTTGTGTTATTTAACTCTTCTATAGTGCTGCCTTTTCTTTTTCTTTTGTATCGCTTAACTTTCGTAGAAGAATTTATTGAGAAAAATAAAACAAATTTAAAAAGTATAAAATCACAGGGAGATGACGTGTAACTTATTCTTTAATTGTTAACCTAAAGAAATCCTATAAAAAGAACATCACATCAAAGTCCACATTATATTTACATTTAATTAAAAATTTTAGTAAACAAATAATAAAAAATTTTACACACATGTATGTATCCAACTAGTTGTAGATAAGATTGTGTAAAGTAATCGCGGCTAGATGAAATTAATTGGTCAAAAGCACAATGCATTTAATTTAAATTAAATACAAGGTGTGAACATAGTTTAACTAAACCTTTAACTTTTAAAGTAGATATAATAGAATAAAAATTCTATTACATACATGATTAACCATCTACATATTATCTTCCTTATTTATTTATTTTTATCATCCTATAAATCTCCCTCTCTTTAGATCGTGAATCTCCCTCCTAAATATGAACATCTTTTGTCTTTTGGTCCACAAGTATGAACATTTTTTAAAACAGTGACCGGCCCACGAAATCTTTTCGATATCTATGCCACCCAAATTTGCTTTGGGCTCGTCCTGGGCTCCTGGGCCGTATTTTAAATCCCCACTTTCTAGACCAAAGAAAACCCCTTATTACTTTATATAGCTACTAGGAATCGACCAAAATTTGATGTATAAATAACATTATTCTAATATATATGTGTTATTAATACTATTTCACCCATTGCAAAAACGTAATAAGGTATAATAAAAATTTTATAAATAACAAGAGTTGAAAGAACAGAATAAAGACAGTACAGAATAAAGATAATGGATGCTTACAGAATTATATTGATGAAAATTTTGATATTCTTACAAGATAGGAGATATTAAAAGAAAAGATTACAAAGGCTAGTATTTTAAGGTTCAGAAAAAGTGTTTATCTATTCTCGCTCTCCTTCTTGATTTTTAGTCGCCTATTTATAGAGAATGTTTCCTCCTGTTGAAGATTCTTTCTTATCTGATGAGCTGTTATCATTTATACTATTCTTGTCTTGATTTTTTTTACTATTTTTGCCGACAATTTTTATTGGAGAGCTTGTCAGATCATCTTTATCTTTATGAGAAAGGAAGATAAATGCCAAAATAATCGTTTTCATTATTGTCAGCTAGATCTTGAAAATCTTCTAGTGGATTGGGACTTTCTAGACTCTTGGTTGATTCTTTCTCAGGTGGCTTAGGAGATAAAGCCAATAATAATTTATTAATTTATTCGTCATCCTTAGCTGTATGGAGACTTTGAAAAATTTTATTCTTTCTGAGTATAAATTCTTGATTAGCTTTTTCTGCAATAATCAAATTGACTGTTGGCTTTGATGATTTTTCTTGAAAGCTTAACCATCTATCAATACTCTGCTGATTTATTAAATCCATATTGAATTTAGTCCACTATTTTATTTTTAGGCTTCTAACATGTAGTTGTATAGCTGATTTTTCATAAAGCTTTGCTGAGTCATACTCCCACATATTGATCCAAGTAACACCAAAACTAGCCATAAAGGCTAATAATTGACATTCTTTGGTGAAATTGGTCTTCTTAACAAATTATTGAAAGTTTTCTTGGGCTTTTTCTGGAAAGATATCTAAAGTTGCTCTGAAATCATGCCACCAATAATGAAACCACTTTAGAAATTTAAGTGATATTCCTTTTCTAAGCCATATAAACCATGAGTGTGTTGTTGGTCTCAAAAAGAGCATATTTCTCCAGGCTTGTATATAGTCAAAATAATTATATTGTTTTTGCTGGTAATCTATTGTAAAACTTTTAGATTGGTACAAAGGTTGTCCCCAATTAGTAATAGACAAGAAATTTAATATTTTAAATTTAGAAAATATAATCTCTTGAGTACGTTGATCTTTATGATGAGTTAAATAGATTGAGTATCTACTAAGATTAACTCATAATATTTTCGCTTTGTTTCATAAGTTTTTGGGACATAATGGCAATCTTTTGGAAATACTCTCATAGCAATCTCATGTTTGGATAATGAAAACCATTCTGGTTCTATTGGCATGATAGGAATACAATCTAGTTTTTCATAATACTTGTTTTCTTGGTTTTTGATTAGTAGAAATAGACTTTGTTGGAGGAATTTCCAATATTGTATATTTATTAGATAACTCAACGGGAGTTATTAGTGGAGGGAAGGTAGGTCTAATAAGAGAGGATTGTAATGCTTGTAAAGAAGTCATTGGAGCTTTTTCTTTATTGGGTTTTGTTGGAGTCTTTGGTGGAGTAGGGTCTTTTTTAGGAGGCTCATAACTGGAGTTGGTCATTTTTTACATTTTTAGGAGGCCCATAACAGGATTTATGTGGGAGTATGACTCAACAAAGTTTTATGAAGAATCAGCTATATAACTACATGTCAGAAGCCTAAAAATAAAATGGTGGACTAAATTCAATATGGATTTAATAAATCAGCAGAGTATTGATAGATGGTTAAGCTTTTAAGGAAAATCATCAAAGCCAACTGTCAATTTGATTATTGCGAAAAAAGCTAATCAAGAATTTTTAGTCAGAAAGAATAAAATTCTTCAAAGTTTCCATACAGCTAAGGATGAGAAAGAAATTAATAAAATATTATTGGCTTTATCCCTTAAGCCATTTGATAAAGAATCAACCAAGAGTCCAGAAAATCCCAATCCACTAGAAGATTTTCAAGATCTAGCTGACAATAATGAAAACGATTGTTTTGGCATTTATCTTCCTTTCTCAGAAAGATAAGGATGATCTGACAAAATCTCCAACAAAAATTGTCGGTAAAAACAGTAAAAGAAGTCAAGACAAAAATAATATAAGTGATAACAGCTCATCAAATAAGAAAGAATCTTCAACAGGAAGAAACCTTCTATATAAATAGGCGACTAAAAATCAAGAAGAGGGAGAGCAAGAATAGATGAACACTTTCTCTAAACCTCAAAATACTACTCTTTGTAATTTTTTCTTTTAATCTCTCCTATCTTGTAAGAATATCAAGATTTTTATCAACATAATTATGTAAACATCTATTATCTTTATTCTGTATTGTTTTTATTCTATTCTTTAGACTCTTGTTATTTATAAAATTTTTATTATGCCATATTACGCTTTTGCAATGGGTGAAATAGTATTAATAACAAATTCAGTATATTTCAGAAAAATGTTAAAAGATATAAAAAAATTATTAATAAGAACAAATAATATTAACGAAAGGAACATGATGTTATTATTCAAAATACATTGATGGAACATTACTCAAAATTACATACTAGGAGCTATATGAAGCACAAGCCCTGATTTTTGAAGTGGGACGTAGAATAACACGAAAGAATCTGAAGTGTCCTAAAAAGAACACGTAGGAAAGATTTGCCAATAGGGAGTGAGGGAATCTCACCTTATCCACACTCCAACCACAACCTTTAATTACGCTACTTGTAGTTGTCGTATCACTCCTTATCACATATCCTAAGCCTCAAACAAAACAAAAGAAAATATAATCAAGAAAAAAAAATTAGAGCCAGTAGATTGCACCCCATTCTATTCTAGTTCTTTCAAATCAAGCTAGTTATTTTTCTTTGCATCCACCATGGCTGCCATGAACTCAAGTGTCTTGGCTTGTAGCTATGTCAGATCTTGCTCTGATCTCAATACCAAGCTCACTTCTATGCCTTCGGTTGCATCACCACCACCTGTCTCTGGGCACAAGTTACCTGTGATCAAGATAAAGGCTCAACATTCATCCAAAGAATCACAAGCAAACGAAGGAAGGAGAAGTGCCCTTGTTTACTTGGCAGCCACCCTTTTCACCGCTTCAGCTGCTGCTTCCAATTCTTCTGCCAATGCTGGGGTCATTGAAGAATACCTTGAAAAGAGCAAGGCCAACAAGGTCTATTCATTCTCTTGCCTTTGTTATACAATCACTCTTTAATTACCCTTTTTTCACTTCATTTATGTTGAGTAATAAAATAATTAAGACGTTATATTCAAAATATTTTGTTTAACTTTTATTATATAAAATCTCTTTAATCTAATTAATATGGACTTATTGTACATAATAATTTATAGAAACCCTTCATGTCATTATAATTTAACTAGTTTTAATTTGATCATTGCAATAGGAACTGAATGACAAGAAGAGGTTAGCTACAACAGGGGCAAATTTTGCAAGAGCATACACTGTGGAGTTTGGCACTTGCAAGTTCCCCGAGAACTTCACTGGTTGCCAAGATCTAGCCAAGCAAAAGGTATAATATATGTTAACATGTGTTTGATTCCATTTATTTTACAGAAATAATCCTATATTTTTATTAATTTATGTAGAAATTTTTTAAAAAGGAAATGACTATTTTCTTAAAGTCCGATCTTGACCAAACATGCTAGTTGCTTGCTGAAAGTTTTGGCTTAATTCTTTGTTTCTATTCAATTTATTTATTTTTTCATTCGTTTCATTTTGTTTGTGCAGAAAGTGCCATATATTTCTGATGATTTGGAGATTGAATGTGAAGGAAAGGACAAATACAAGTGTGGGTCTAATGTTTTCTGGAAATGGACAAAGCCTTGATAATAGTTCATAGTTTACTGTCGTACCTTTATTATTACTGCAGTTAATGATCTTTCTTGGTTGGCTGTAAAAAATGAAAATTAAATGGGACGAGCCTCTATTATTTACTTGAAAGAATCAATTACATGAAGCCTCTCCAAATGCAGTGCATTTAGGATCTTGTTTAACTCAACTCATTCAGACTTTTTTTTATTGGATTCAAGCCGATTTGATCATGTTAATTGTAAAATGTGAATTTAAATTGAGTTTAGAGCCAACCTAATAAGATTGAATAAAGTTGGATGAATGATTTATCACCTCTTAACTAAACACATTGTCTACTGTAACATTTACTAACAACAAGATTCATCTTTCAGCATCTATACTATCCCACATATACACATTAAGAATACTAGGGCCGTGCCAAATGCACAAGATAAACAACTCTTTCAAAATTTGGACGACTATGATTTAACTGAAAATATAAAACTGAAGTCTGAATTAATTTGAAAGGTTATGTAATTCAACCCATTCAAACTTCTTTTTTTTATTAAAATCTTATTGTTAATTAAGTGAGTTTGAATCGAATTTAGATTTTAGACCCAACTTTCGAATCGGGTTGGATAATGTTCTATCGCCTCTTTAAACACAATCATGATTTGTAGTTTAGTTAGCTACTATCGCCCACCCGTTCTCCAGGAAAAGAAAAACCTCTATTTTGGACTCAAGAGTCGTGAATTATAATGATTTTGGAAGCAATATGAGTACTTAATTAGGATTATTTAAAATTAATTTTAAATCATGATGATATTAACATGTTTATCATGATAAAAAATAATAATAATAATAGTCTGTGTCAACATACGAAGACTTATATGTTCTGTCTGATTTGTAATAACTATTAGGCCCACCTTTCAGGCCCAGGGTTTCATAATTTCTCAGCACGTATCCAGTTAACTGACGTTGACCCAAAGAAAAACAATCTAACCTATAGATAGATGAGAAAAATTAGCAATATAATTGATTAAAATTTATTAAAAATTATAAAATTATAAAAAAAATATTGATTTAAAAGTGATAAAAACTATAATTAATTTAAATTTTATATTTTTTAATAAATTTTAGCTAATAGTAGAAAGTGTGTTATAAATAGTATTTAACTGAAATTTTTTATAAACTAATTTAGTCTATAATGGTTCATTTAATAAGAAAAAAAAATTATTTAACATTGATGAGAACCAGTCGAACCAACATATTGCTAGCGACGAAGAACTTATTTAAATAAGTTGTTTTATTTTATTTTATTTTGTAATTATGTTGAATGTTTATTATATCAAAATATTTTTAATCAAATAAATACTCAATGTAAAATTACAAAACTTTATATATTAAATTAATTTATAAATTATAATTATTTTGATTTTTTTTACTGTTTTTTCTTGGAAGAAACCCAGCCGAATGCTCTGGGACGTCAAAAAGCTTTGGTAATTGTTTTCTAAAAAGTCCAAACTAAAAGTCACTGTTAGTTGTTATTTTTGCCAACTTTTTCAAATTATTGTCACAATATTAATTTTTGTATCACTTGGTTAAATGCCCTTTTATATTTGGGACATGTTTTTGAGATGCATATATATATAAATAAAAAGAAAAATTTTAAGTTAAAGATAAAAATAATATATAATAAGAACTTTTAATAGTTAAAAACACAACTGTTAACACTATCTTCTTAAAAGAACATTCTAAAAGAACTTTAAAATAATTAGTTGTGTATAATTCTAGAACATTAGCCAATTATAAACCTTTTTAAATGTTTGATTGTGAGATGAGATACCTTAGCATGGAATGCAACAAGAATCTATAAGCTCTGCGAAACTGCAGAGACTCCAATAGTCCTGACATGCAATGCAGCAAGATTAATGGCATTTTGAAAGGTAGTGGGGGGATTGGGATTCCCCAGGCTAATGGTCCCATGTGTGCATAATCATGAAGGGTGTCAAGCACAGTAGCAAGTTGCTAGAAACCCCAAAACTTGTCCTCACTCATCATCGTCCTTTTCATCACAAACATGTTGGATCCTTAGGTTGCTGGATTCTCATGCGTTATTGTTTACGGCTATCATTCCAAAACTTATAACCGTGAATATAATATGAAAATTATAACTAGTAACATTAAATAAATGATCGTTTAAACATAAATATAAACATTGACTTAATCACACGTTATGAAAATACTCACTTCATGAATCGTATCAAACACAAATCCACAGAACATCCCTAATTTTCTTCTAAAATATAAGGATGCTATTTTCATATCACTCATGCAAACAAACCAATTTGATGCAAAAATTCAGCGTACCTAGAATTCAACTGCAAACTTTAAAGTACAAATCCCTTTTATCTATACTTTTTTAAGTAATGATAAGTACAAAAAAATCGATATAAAAAAGATATTCGTGATTGCGTTAAGCTCATGATCCATCGTTCAGTGTCCCACTCATTAATTGGCGCTTTGCCGCTAAGTTATATAGGTGAAGAAGAGCACCAACCACCACTTCATGCAGCAACTACGCATGTAAGGTTCATGCAAAACTACTGAGAATGGATTGAGATAAAAGTATACATGCAAAAGTTTGGTGCATCATATCCTACTTATCTGCTACTAATAGTTTTTCTATTTTCGAAAACTTTTAAAGGGTACTAATGTTTAATGATTGACCAAACCACTAGATGTACCCACTAGCCACTAGGTACCATATATCCAATATCATACGCTAATAAAAACTTCACCTAACATGTACGATACTGTATGCGACGAGTTATACCCAAGCGACGAGTAATAATTAAATCTTTGCGTGTAATTCACTTGTTTTTCTCTCTAAGGCTCTAACGGTTCTTTGTTTATCTTCACATTTGTAATAAAACGCATATATGTAGCAAATCTCATTTTCCATTCTATTATGATTCCATTCTTCGAAAATAAACTTCACTGGAGGTGCCAGTTTAAGAATGGATTTAATGCAAAATTCCATGTTGTTGTCTCTAATTAACACCGTCGAAAGGATGGGGGTGAGAAGATAATGCTATTTACATATTATACAACTAATTGAACTACAAACTTCTAAAATGTAAATAATTTTTAATTATAATTGTTCATATAATATTTACAAAAAGTGTACCAATATTTTGTTATTGCTTAAAAATATTTATTATATTTTTTATTTTAAAATATATGATCACACAAATATAATTTCCCAACAAAAAATATATAAAATACTAGCTGTTGTGAGTGAGATATAAATAAAAATGATATTGAATTTCATTACTTTTTAAAAAAAATTATCTTCTCCGATATTGAAAAGATTTATAATTTAATTAATAAAATGTAATAATAAAAAATCTCTTTCGGGCACACTCGTAAAACCAGTCTACAAAAAGTTAGCATTTATTTTACTAAAGGTTGAAAATAACTTGTTTGAATGCACATATATTATTAACACTTTGATTAAATTAGAAAACAAGAGAAAGAAAAAAGAGAGAATATATCATTTTGAACTGTATCAAGACATAGATGTAAGGAGAAAACGTAGAAAAAAAAATAGCGTGGGTTTCCTGCAAATTGTCTTCTTATGAATGCAAAGAAAACTAGAGACAAAGGGGAACATTGAACTCCAACAACCCATGCCCCACTACATCCAACCACCGGCTAATAGTGAATTCCCCTCCCTTTTTTTTCAAATGCATATAAACGTATTCTTTTTAATATTTTAATAAACATTTTGTCAAATCTCATTAACTTTCACCACTATTATTTTAACCACTTATTTAGAAGAGAAAGAGAAACAAAATATAGAAAAAAAAAAGGTAAGAAAAAGAGGAAGCTAGAAAAAAAATAATTAACTGAGTTACACCCGCATATAATCAAGTATTTTGTCCAACAATCAATTTGTGACTCTGAATGATCGAAGAAAACTGTGCAACACAAAGAAGAACGATTACTTTGCGGATTGAAACAAAAAATCCGACTTTGTAGTCTTGAAAACCTACTATTAGTGCTAGTTACTTATCCACTCGTTGTGTGCGCAAATGCGACTAAATTATAAACCTTTGATTTTAAAAGATGATCCCTGTGTTCAGAAGAGATAAGCGTGTGATTATCTTTTGACATTAGATATTGTCTTTCTTCTCCTTTCTCTCCCAAATAAATAAGATTTTTTTTTTCTCTTTCTCGCAAGTCCATAACACTAAACTTTTGAGTATGTTTGAAACTTAGAAAACATAATGTGTTTGATAATCTCACCTTCATCCCATAGTGTGAAACTTCTTTGTGAACGTACACGGCATCAGCATTAATGACCTATGCCACCTTCATCTACCAACGCATCTTCAATTTCCCTATTTTGATCACCATATTCAACATTTCAACCCTATTGCTTCAAGTTTGAAGGTCTGAAATCAATTCGACGATGAAAGCATTACGTACGATAAGGATCGGTTTTGTCTGATTAAGATTTCTTTTATCAGCAATAAAATTTTAAGTACAAATACATTTTTTTGGTTATTTTATACTTAGTAATCTGTTCAATAACAAATTTTATCAAATATTAACTTTTAGTTTCTCAGAAAAATTTTAAAATTTTTAGTTAATTTATCTATTAATTTTGTCAAACATACAGAGTATTCAAAAATATGTTCTTCATCATACCCCTCCTCCGCCTCCTCCCCTTTACCCCTTCTTTAGAGAAACCAAAATTCCTAAAAGGAATTACATAAATAAAAAAACAAATGCCGCTTCGTACAAGCATGCTCTCTGAACCTCGATTGTTTTTAGCAGTTTTATATGTTCGCCTTCGTTCTCATATATTACTAAAAATAATAATAAGCCAACGAAACGAGCTACTCTTTGAATGTGTACACAGTTCGAGCATCGACGTCTTGGCTGTACCTAGCACGTGTAAGCACATGCAAACTTTTAAAGTTGAGGAAAAGCTACACGTGAATATGAGGATCATTTTGCGCTGAACAAGTACATCTCTAGAACTTGAATAACGCAAATTATAGTTGGGATTCCTTTTAAGAAGTTCATAGATATGTATTTCCATTTATATTATAATTGCAAGCATGCATGACACCCAAAGAGTGAATTCAGAACATTAATTATAATGGATTTACAATTATTCATTTTGCTGTCACAGTGTGGCCAAAAAACTTGAGAGAATAAAGGAATGATTGTAGTGTATCTTGAAAAGAATAAATATTACAACGATGGAGACAAAGTAATGACCGTAATATACCTTAATATATCTCGTGAACCTTTTTTTATGTTTCCT